CATGAAGGATCCAGGCTTCCGTAAGTGCCCTCCTGCTATCACCTTCTACCATCACATTCCCCCAAGTAAGTTTCCCCACCTGATTTTGGCACAAGAGACAACAGTTCCCTCCCTGCTAAAGCTTTAAACCAATCCTGTATTCGTGCTTCTTTAGTGATTCCTCAAATGCAAGTTTTTATTGCTGTTTGTCTGTTACACCCTTCCTCCTCCAGCCTCCCCTCTCACAGGCCACATTAAAGGCAGCGAATTAGGAAGGCAATGTAGTATTTTTAGCAGGTGGCATTCCTAAGAAGACCACAGTGACAAAAGCATCCAGAGGAAACCAAGCAGTCATTGTGATGCTGACAAGACTGTGAAAGTCCAAAAGACTGTTCATGAACTCGCTGCTTAAAAACAGGCCTGAGACATGATTTATTATGAATCTTTTCCACAAACTACCAGTCTGTGCTATGCATATCAAGTTTCTCCAGAGATACAGGTATTTAGGGTTTGGTATTCTTATGTTTACTAACAGATTAACAAACTGGCTGCCATACTGACAGAGTGTGAAAGATACTCCATTGTGAAGGCCTGAAGCATTTGACAGTAAAACTGTCAGTTTCTACTCCTTAAAGTTCATTCCAGCCTCACCCCTCCCCCTGACCATGAAAAACAGAAAAATGAAATAAAATTGAAGTCTGGAAGCCATGTGTAAATCTGCAGGTCTGTTCTGAGGCAGGAGATCCACCAGTGTCTCCTGCAAGCCAGGATGTATCACTGAAAGCATCACTCTCTGTCCCCATTATAAAGCCACCAAGAAACAAGAACTCATGGGAAGTGATCCGTCAAGGTCAGCCACCAACCTGTTCCCACCTACTGGTCAATCACGCTCTTCGTGGGCAGCAGCTCTGTGGTAAGGAAGCCATGGTCAATGGCTTCCCTGCAAACAAGATCTTCATTGATTCTGCCTCCCTGAGCCTGGTTTTGAGTTCTTACCTCCGCTAGTTGTCAGGGCTTGCTTAAGGCGCCACAAAGACATATTCTCATGACCCCGAGGACTGCAAGTGAATCCCATCTTTTCTCATCCTCTCCCCCTCCTCAACTGACTCCTGCTCTTTTCCATTATTCAGAAGTTGCTGAGGTAGTATGATACAGTTCCCCAAAAAGGCATTTGAAAGGCTTTGCTTTTGCCCACCTATAGGCTGAATTTGCATTTAAGATTAAATTCTGTCAAACAGGTAAGTTCCAATGGCAAAAAAGCTGAACAATTTTTACACAGGATGCGTATTTTATTTTGGGAAATACATTAAAAATTGCTTCTTAGTCTAGGATATCTATACATAATTCAGCATATGCAGAGTGCCCTTTTAAACTCGAGAAATATTTGTCAAATGTACAAAAACATTACAGACAAACATTTGTTAACCAAAGCACAGTAAATGGATGCCATTTTTCAACAGTTCGAAACAGTTTATAAAATAGTGCAAATTTTATTGCATTAAACTTCCCAGCTCACTTAATTAATAATTTATTCACATGACATCCTTTCATCCTCATTAAAATACAGTTTATTTTAAGCTCCTAAAGGAACTTCAATGTGCTTCTAAAAACCCAGCAAACAATCCCTTTTATTTGCACCACTGATGCAGGCACTGAAAGACCATGTGTTTCCTCTTATGCATTACAATATATGAATCTAGAGTCCAATTCAACCATTCAGTTTCAAGACTTTAACAGTTGCAGGTGTGTGTGTGTGTTTTAAAAAGGTCCATAATGAACAGCTGATATACAGAAGGCATTTAAAAGATTTTATTACTTAAAAGAAAAAAAAACCCTTTTGTTGAAATTGTAGAGTTATGTGAATAAGATGACCTGCTTAGCATTTAATCAAGTTATCTGCATTGAAATAATTGTTTAATTAAAAGTTTTAAAAAGATAAAACTATTGAGTGGATTCCTCAGTTACTTACATTTTAACAATTTCTTTTAAAAATATAATTTCTATGATCTAATTTAATACACATTTTGAAAATATCCCCTATGTTACAGTTGCTCAAGGAAAGCAGTAAACTCAATGAAAGGTACACTCTTCTAGCTGCAGCAATAAAAAAAGCCATTAATTCACAGTTAAAATGGAATAAAAATCACTCATTCACAAGTGCAGTGTAGCTTGAGCTTAACCAATGTGAAATTCCACTAGGAACAAGGCTAAGTTACTTGCAAAACGAATTAATTTAGTTTGAAACCATATACTGAATAAAATATTTTCCATTAAAATTGTATTTTCTAAACTGGAGTCATACAAAACGTGAAGACAGAATATGAGTAACACAGAGATGCTTCTAGTAACATGTAATAAAAGCTGGTACCTATTACTGTGCCAATACCACAGCCGTTACTGTGCCAATACCACAGCCGCATCAGTCTCCTTTACCCACAAGGTTTTGAAAGATATCTAGGTAATGTGGCAGAATATAATTTATAAACAAATCTCTGTCACTTAAGAATCCTGATTTAAAGCAAACCAAAACCTGCAAGACTCCATTTGATGTTTTAATTCTACAAAAATACAGCTATTTTGATAAACTAGAACATAAACTATAGGTAACTTTTATTGCTGGGTGAAAGATGTAATCTTCTCAGCATAACTGACTTCAGTTCAGTATCTTTAATGCAACAATTCAAGGAAGCTTCTCTGTGATGATTATTATTCCAACACAAACTTTCCAAGTTTTTGGGCTTACTTGAAATTCATTAACAGTTTACATCCATGTATGTAATGTTTGGTTTAACCCCTCGCTTTCTGCACACACTGCAGGCTTTGAAGTTACTACTGACCTGCAACCTTTTTCCTCATGTGAGAATTCCAAAATGCACACAGAAAACCATTGCCTGAGCACTGGCTTTGGAGCTACTACAAAGAGTGTGTGGAGGCAAGAGCTTCACAAGTGAGCAACATGCTTCTGTTTCTGCTTACACCAAAAGGAAAACAGAGCCAAGACCAAGCTTATCCCTCCTTCACAACACTATGTACACCTCATTCATGCATTATGAATTCAGACAAGTTTGGATTACTAGGAGTGGAGTGTCCACTAATTATGAGTATTCATATGTAGCTAAGTCATTCCTATGTAGCCCAAGAAGTTTACTAGCAGAGAAGAACTTACTATGCCTTCAGAATGCAATTTTCAGAAAGACAAAAGTGTTTGTAATGCACTCACAAAAAACATTTGTTTATTTTTTGGCCAGATTTTTGACCATGTGAGTATTTAGCCATGATACGCATTTTATGCCCTGCCCTTCTCTTATGCACACTCACGATTCTTTCAGCATTCAAAATAGGGAAGCCTATATCTCTGAAAGTTTGTGTAGGAAAACTTGCAGTCTCTCTCCTTTTGTAGTAGACCCAAAATGCAAAGGAAGAACAGGGAGTGCCATCATGTAATTGTAAGGAAAGAAAGCAACTAGAAAAAAAATAGTAAGTTCTTAATTCTTTTCAAAGTTTTGTGAACTTCCGCCCACCTCCCCCCCCCCCGTGAAAATTTAACTAACTGCATTCAGAGATCTTCCTTTTCATTTGAACTACAGATTTTATTCAAGAACCAGCTGATTAGTTAGCTATTAAAACTAGGCATTAAAAAAATCCAAATTATAAAGAGTAAGCACTTTTGTCATTCTATATTAATGAATAAATTATTGGAGGCAGATTAAGGATTTGAAGTAACTACATGCGGGACTTCTACCACTCTGAAATCCAGGTACATACACAAGGAATAGAAATTTATTTGTAGCATACAGAAATGCCAGTATGAAGGAACAAATCAAAGCAAGTTCAATCCTGCAGTTGTCCTTTTCCCTTCAGGCTTTAGTTCGTGTTTTGTTGTTGTTGTTGGTGTGTTGGGGCAGGAGGGGCAGTTGTTGGTTTGGGTTTTGGTTTTTGTTTTGTTTAGTGTACATACCTGGGGAAAGTCTAGCACTTAGCACTAGATGCTATGACACAACCTGCTTTGCTGTTTCTACGACACTACTGCCCGAATAATCTCTATTTTCAGCTATGGATGGGAGGGTCGTTTTGAAATCAAAGTGATCTCTTACAGGATCCAGTTTATAATAATGTTATTTACAATGGTTTAAAATGATTTGGATGTCACCAATTACTTAAAACAGCACTCACTGCACAGAATTTCTTTGTAATTTAATGAGCCAGGAGAAGTTAAGGATAGCTAAAATCTGATTCTTTGCAAACTGCATCACATAATCATATGATCTGTCCATTTAACACTTTGAAACTGTCTTTGTATAGCTGTACATTTAAGATAAGTATAGAACAATACAGGAAAATTTGCTGGTTTGATTTGTATAAGAATTAAGTTGTTTGGATGAATGCTTCACACAGACTTTTATCTTGAAAGGATGGAACTGTACGTGTCAATTATGTAATTGGAGAGGGAAATACGAAGAATTAAGCTCTACACTTCCACTGTGATGCAGATCAGATACCTGCAAGCAACCATGCAAAACCCCAAAGAATACATCATGAAAAAAACCAAACCCAAACCCTAAACAAAAAACAAAGTCACCGTGTGCTTTCTTGCTTTTAATTGTTAAGAAAGCACAATATTTTCATTAGGAAAGAATCTGTCCAGATAATATCCCCATATAAACTCTGGATCAGCACTTTTAGACAAATTACAAAGAAATCAGTCTATGACACAAATGTATTTTGTTATGAATAGTGCAAATCCTTTGCTGTAGCCTCATGAAAAAACAAGAGTTAGCTTTCTTGTTTCATGTAAAAGCTCTTGCAGACAGATCTTCATCCCTCATCATTTTAAGAGAGTACTATGAAGTAAATACATTCATACTGAGATGCAACTATAGTTTTAGCTATGCTCCTTTAACAAGCTACAAACCTTACTTCCCACCCCCCCCCCCCCAATCTAGGGGTAATTTCACCAGAAAAGCCATACCATTCAATTTCATAAAAAGAAAATAAAATTTTATATATATATATAAAATTGCAATCAACCTTATCCTATTCCTCAAGTAATAGAAACATTGAAATTGTTAATCAGCATCCAGGCTCTTGCCAAGACTATGACTACTAGAGTCAGTTAGAATGTGAGGTGAGGAAGTGTCTTACCTACTAGATGCAAACCAAAAGACGAATTCATCTTTCCAGATCATACACTCAAGCACTTCATTTGTGCTAATATATATCTTGAAGACCACATTTATAAATACATTTTAATTGAAATTTTGAATTTGGACTATCAGTGCAAAATAATTAACCCACAGGCTAGGATAAAACCATGGAAAAAGGTGATAGAATTCAACGAAAAGATACCTTTTAAGCACACATGCATACAGTATAGAGCGTAATTTTTTTTCAGACAGCATCTGTTTAATAAACCCTGTATGTATTCTAATGCCATTCTAAAGCTTCCTAAAAAACATTTTTAGAAAGCCATCCATTTCTGAGCTGCTTTGTGTAGAAGCCCATCATTCTCTTGGAGAAAGCAGCAGCACGTTCATAGGATCTTTAATGTGGCAGATAGAGAATACAGAAAAAACTGAGCGGCTTTTACAACTGCAGACATACATTATGAAAATGTCAGCCAAAGATAATTTAGAATACTGGGACAAGGGTCAGGAAAAGGGTAGCAATTTTAGGTACTGTGATCTGACAAAAGCAACTGCATTGCAATTTCCAATGCAAGGACTCAAGTATTTACATTCATACATTTATACTGCACACTAATAAAAGAATCCTTCTTCAGGAAAAGGCTATTTTGTAGTAGTAGTGAAGAACCTAAGTATTCTGTGGCAGGAAAAGTAGTTCATTAAAACACATAAATATTGGTGGCTCTTAAGTCAGCAACTTAAGATGCTGTTCTATCATCACCTTTTTGAACAACTTCATGCTGTGAGAGAAGGATCTGAGGAAGGACAAAAAGTATATACAGCAAAAAAAAGCAGATCAATCACTGAAACCAACTCACCCCATTAATATAGTTTTAAAACATTTTAACATACTTTACACTCTGTTTTGTGAGATGAAAGACAAAAATACATGATGTATCTCAAGGAAATTTCTTTGACAAATTGCTGTTATCACCTTTTGGGATTGAAAGTGTACATATCACCATGCTCCTGGTTTGTTCACCTCTACTTTTGTCACATCGAAGTTTAGCGTGTCTTCCTCATTTTTATATTAAAGGTGCTCCAAAGCACTTCCTACAACACTCAACCCTGCTGCTTGGCGGAGCATCTATTTTGTGCATCTTTTCAAGAACTTCCTTTGGTAGATTTTTATGTGCAATTCTGTATTCACTATCAAAAACCTCTGAAATAGAAAAGCATAGTTGAAGTTACTGAAGAAACCCTGTACAGCACCTACTATGTTCCTATAAAATCCTTTTGATGATTTTTATACAATAACAACATTAATTATCTTAACTAGCCACTGATTTTTTTTTTCCAAGCTCTCTCAGAGAACCTGAAAAGTTTCTTCACATTGGAGCATCACAACACATCAGAGTGGACACCCATTACTTCTACTGCAGTTCAGTCTGCCTGTTCCCAGGTTATTTCCCCTGTCATATCCCATAAAGAAGTCCTTTTTCCTGCACAGTACCAAATAAAAGTCAGGGTAGAGGAGATCAGCAAGAGAACAGCAGTCAGGTGGCTAGATGACATATGTCTAACATGTAGGTCGGAGAAAGATGGACAAAACTGGGAACATGTTTTCAGACATAAGGAATTAAAACTTCAAGCTAACAAATTTTGTTTAAAACAGCTGATTACTAGTTTCAAAGCTAAAATTAACGCCCCATCTGAATTACTTTTCTATAAAAGCAACACCTTCTTGAAGAGTAACAGCACAGTACTTTGCACTAAAATACAGCAATTGAAAAGCTACTTAGAAACTCATGGATGAATATATACACTAGTTTTCACATAAAGTATTCATGTATTTTAGAAACAGACACATGCATTTCACAGTGTTTTTTAACTTACCAATGTCAATGTTCTCTCTTCCAAGAGACACCAGAGAGAGGAAAAGAATTTCTCTGTAAAAACTCCTAGGAAATATTTTGAAGGGCATGTCAATGAAAGCACCAACTATCGTTAAGTTTACCAAGTCAATGTTGAAGATGCTAACCTTTTATTATATAGTTTCTGCAACTGTTCTGTTAATATTTCTTATGCAGAAAGTGACTGATCTATATGACTGGTAGTTTAAGATTTCCTCGTGCCTGAGTTTTTTTCCTTAACACATGAAGATACAGTATTGCCAGATCCCAGCAGCTAAGTTTTCTATGAAAAATCCCTCTGTCAAATGTGCCATAAAAATTCCAGAAAAACAAGAAATATAGAATTAAGCACCACTTATTTAACTTATTCCTGCATGAGGGTGAAGTACAGGGAGCAGAATTATTTCAGATCACCCATATTTTGGTTTTTTTTTTTTTGTTTCAGAATGTCACGAGCTGTCTCAGAACTGAATATCACTAAACAATGGTATATTAACTTTTTTCCTCATGGAACTCATGAAGATTCTTCTGTAGGCAGATTACTACTTTTTTTTTTTTTTTGTAGTAACTACAAACCACAGAAGCAGAGATGACTTAGCATGATAAACTTCGAATACATCTTTTTTACATTATTTCCTGTAATTTAATTCAGAGGCTTGCTTTTTAACAAAGCCCTCTCTGAATTGCAGTGCAGATGGCAAAATGTACAGTAGAAGCATTATTTACATGTCTCCCTTTATTTGTGGATCATGCTGTATACACTTTCTAAGCCAGTACTCCAGGCTGGTAAAATTCCAATAGTTATGACCAGGTAGTTTGGAGAATATTCCAGATACACTGCAACAGGGTACTGCACACTTACATTTATAAATTTTCTAGATCTGAAGCAGCCAAAAAAAAAAAATTGCCATTGTCAGTATGTGCGTTTTTCTTATTAATTCATAAAATGTCAATTTTGATCAAGGAATTTATTTATTCATTTGATTTGGATGAGTTATGCATCTAGCCACAGAATGCATCTGTTTGTAATCATGGGCATAAACAAACATACACAGTGTTTGGTGAGCACAAAATAAAAGTGAATATTGTGAGACATCCTTACTGAATTCTCATTATTAGGTGTATATGGTCTGATCTTACTTAACTTTGAGTGGGGAGAAAATAAGAAGAGATTACCCCTTTACCTCTGTCGTTTCACATCTGGCTTAACTTTCTGTAGAAGCAGGTTGATTGGTTTAACAACATTATTGTGTTGAATACTTAGTTTAATGTTCTCCAGCAAAGTGTTTGTTGCCTGCTGATCTTCTGCCAATGTAGAGGGTGTCTTTTCAGAAGAATCTGGGAAACACAACCATACAGACTATTAAACATTAAAGATCTTATATATTTTCACTTTAATAAGAAGAAGGTATTTCAGAAAGTGAGATAAATATTCAGGACCTCTACTCAATCTACAGAAATCTGTCACAATGGAAACGCTTTGTCTGCTAATGGTCTTTATTCCACCACAAAAGTTACTGGATGCATCAACTACCCATGTGCAAGTGCTTTCAATGTGACAGAGAGATACAAAAGACTGAAGCGTATCCAGCATCAGAGGCTGGCTGTGATGGTTTGCCAGCTCAGACTTATTGCTCTACTTCAGTTTCAGATACTAAGTTCACAAAGGTTATTTTTACACAATGGAAAAGAAGTAGAACAAAAGAAAACACCATCATATTTCTTATCAAAGAAACTTTTCTCATCAAAGAGCACAGACTGAGAAGTCTATGTCAACAATGTTTTTTTTGCTGATCAGAAGAAATCCCAAGTTCTCATAAGCAGTGTGTCTGGTTATTCTTCCTTTCAAATCAAGTTATGGTAGACAAAGGCTTTTTTTGATGTTACTTTCTGACAGTCAAGTAGGCTGCCAAATGTACATATTAATGGGACTTGTTACCTTTCATTCAGTTACAGAAATACAAGATAATTTGTCTTTTTCATGTCTGCATAGATATAACTAGATAATGCAGTTAAACATTCAAATCAGGTAAAGATTACTTAGCACCACATCTACAGCAAATCTTCCTCCCCTATTTATAGCCATATGACATATAAAGAATAGATAACATACCTTTTTACTCAGATCAGTAAGATATTTTCTTAATTTGACACTGAGACTATGTTAAGTACCTCAGGGATTCCAGATGCCTTACATACTAAGAAAGCTTTCCAACTTGATGGGCTGTGTACACTTCAGACTGTACAAAACAAAGGGTTTTTTCCATAGCCTCTCCTCCCTCTGCTTTCTGTAACATTTGTTTTACTCACTGAGATTTCTCCAAGATATATACAGGGGTTCCCCCGGCTCTTGGTGGAGGTTGATATTGTCCCACAGAAGATGGATGTATACTAGCTTGCTATCTTGAGCAAGAGACGTCAAAGGAAGCTAAAAAAACATGAAGAAAGGGAAAAAAGTTTTTAAAATATCAGTATACTCTCATTATTTAAAAAATTGCTCTTTCATGAAGGTTTACTTTATTCATCTTGAATCCATCAAACAGGAACAGTTGATGTCTTCTAGTGACAAATTCACTCAATCAGAGCAAAATCACAACTACTGCAACATTTAATTGTCTTCTCTGGTTTAGCCTAATGTACGAAGACTACTCAGTTTTCTAAAGAAAAATCTTCTCTATCTGAAGAAAATTTGAATAAGCATGTATCAAAAAATGGGGTTTGTGTACTAAGCATGTTACTTAATTTGTGCCACTTATCATGCCACACTGTAGTAGTTTCTAACCTGATTAAGACTTGGTATACATGTCCTTGTGTTGATCTCTCCAACATGCAGGAAGAATTTGTATGAACCATTCGCTGCCATTAAAATATACAGTACTCAAAATATTAGATCCATAATTATTTTATAAAATTAAGTGCCTTTAGAATCTCTAATACTGCAAGACTTAGTGGGCAAGAAAAATTTACCACTAGTGTGTCAATTCAAAGAAGCAATTACAGATATTAAGCTCCATCTTCTGCTTTACCCTGCTAATGCATTGTATTTAGCCAGTATGCTTTAGATTTCACTAGTATTGGTCTTCAACTACATTTCCTGGAAAATTGTTCCTGATTCCAGGGTTCTGGGTTTTTTTGAAAATTGAGGGAGAGAATTTTAAAATTACAGTGCATACAATTAGATAGGAAAATACTACCTTTTTGTATGCATGTTAAATCTGCTAATTACATACACAAATCCTATAGGTTTCCCTTAAAATGGAAAAAGCAAAATACTCAAAAGATAGCATCCATCCTATGTTCTTTTTTTCCATCCATATAGTACTGAAACTCAGTGGTCTTTGAATAGCAAAACCTGTTAGTGGAAAAGAGCAAAAAATATTGACTAATACCTTAAAAGGTTTATATACTGACGTACACAACCCACACTATGTGGATTTCAATGCATTGCTATTTGTGAGTTCTCAACAGATACATCTTGTTTCCTTCCATGCATCAGCCTTCTCTTTAATGAATCTTAGTCTCTGGCTTTTTAGAAGAGAACGGCTTGACTAGAATTTGAATGCTGTTTTCACACATCTTACTTTAAGATTCTTTGTGGAAAACAAACCTTTCTAGTTATATTATAAAACCCAGGAAACTAGATCCAAGCTACTCAGGTATTACTTACCTACTTTTTTTGAAGCAAACTCTCAAATGTAGCTTACTTCTAATATCTGCAGCTCTAATAGGAAGAAGCCACTTACCTGCACTCCATCATTACAGTGTTCAGATGTTAAAATCAGTCCAGGTAAGTTGCTAGGCAGATCCAACCGTCGGAAATACCAAACTAAGTTCCAGAAAATTATGGGGTGTTGATTGATGAATTTGGATGTATGAATTACTTGCTCTCCCTCATTTTCCAACAGTGATTCAAGCTCCTTATGCAGTACCAAAGGGCTCAAGTAGGGCACGGATACAGGGAGAGGATTAGGTCTTTTTACTAAAGGATCCTAAAAACAGAACAACACACACAAAAGGAAACTGTGGGGTTTTACAGAATCAAAGGATTTTCTTCCAGAAATACACTTCAGGATTACTTGCCCTGGAAATCCCCATTGCAGAGTTTATTTTTGTATTTGGAAGAAACATCTGGAAGTACCGAACGCACAATAACTTTAATAGCATCAACAGTTGTGATGATTGAGGTGTTTATTAACTTTAAAGAACAATCACCTAAGCTCTCACTGTTACATGAAAAAGAGAAAATGCTAATTTGTTATAGCTTGCTCCTGATTGTGCAGTTTCAAGCTGTATAAGCTGGTGGCAGTATAGATTGTAGAAATGTAGAAATATAATTACATCAGCTGTGGAACTGAATCATGTATTCACATGTTAAAGACAGCTTCCTGCCAATAAAAAACACTAGAAAGAGAAGAAACACTTCTTTTCATATGCAAACAATGTAACAGTCTCAATACTGGCTCTTACCTTATCCACTCGAGAGGTAAGGCTAATAAAACATATAGGAAGAATGTAAGTAAATGCTTGGAAAAGGAACAAACTTTCACTCTTGCAACTGTGTACTGTTTGTACTGTTGTGTTCAGTCTGCTGTAGAAGTTGGGATATTTTTAAAACAAACTTCTAGTCTTAGAAAGACAAAGACTGGTTTCATTCTGCTAGAGAGAACATTTCAATCAATCAGCACCATTTGTACAATGTACTAAAGCCCCCCAATTTTAGATTAACTGAACCAAGATTTTTTTTATTTTTTTTTAATCGTAAGAATGTTGAAAATATGCCTGGCCATTTCCATTCCCCAAATGGACAGGAATGATAGGAATAGAACATTATGTATTTTAGGTTCACTGCATTCAGTTTTTTGCTGTCAACTGAATGTGCAGCTTCTAGACTTACCACAACTTCCTGCAGACTGTTTGGAAGACTAACTGTTGAAATTCCATGAGATGGTCTCTGGGAAAGATCAATATTTTGCAGTGGACCTCCAACACTGTGGCTCCGAGTCAAGGACACTCCCCTTTTTGGTGGATTACTGGGAGATGTCTTCAGGGTTCTGGGATCCTTACTCTGTTCTTCTGCTACATCACTGTTTGGATTTTAAAAGAGAATATGCTAACATGAAACTATTCATCATTCCTATGGCAACAAGAAAGAAGAGGAGAAAGGCTGTTAAGTAAGTATCACAAGCCAAGTTTCTCTATTAATAAGGGATCATATTTGACCTGGTAGCTCCACAGTATACAGAACCATATAACAATCCTTCCAGAAAAGCAGCTAAGTAGAACCTAAGACATGAATCTGAATCGCAGTTTTGTATAGGTACCATTGCTCTGGTACAGCTTTACCTTGCTTAGAAAAACAGCAATGCAGTTTTGTCAACACACAAAGACGATCTTGTTCTGATTATGTTCATTTTTACTTCCTCATTCCCTTTATATTTACTTTCTCTAAATGTCATAAGTAGAGCAACTGTCATATGACTTAGTACCTATTGCAACATAATGTTAACAAATTCCAGCAAAAAGGTCAAAATTCATAGCAGCCCTGTTTCAGTTCTTCCCTCTTCCAACATCAAACTTTCTTAATGCTTCCTCCCTCACACTGTTTCAAAAGTAGTAGTATTATTTTCTGAGTTTCAATTTTACACCAGTATTATTTGTCATAGAATGTATGCTCCGTACAAGTGTCAAGGGTCCAAGACTTTTCTCTCAAAATAGTGTTTCAGCAAATGGACTTATTTTTCCCCATAATGCATTGTCCTTCTTATTAAACACAAGGAAAGGAGAAGTAATGATTACATTTATGTCTCTAAAAGGTGTGTTCTAACAATACCTATTTTACCTATTAATTATTAGCAGATGAATCTGAAGATTTATTTCTAGAGTTGTATCTCTTAATACTCACTCACTTAGTGGAACCAGTTACTTCAAATTGATAAAAGCATACAAAAAAGAGAAAACAGATGATCATCAAGTTACTCTGTAACTTGTGCTTTACCATACTTGGTACATAAGTCAATCTTCACTTTAAAGCAGAGGAGAAATAATGCAAGTGTTGATACATTTCTGACGGAACTAAACCTTTGTTTTACCTACCTCTGCTCAGCTGCAGAGCTCGTTTCTTCAGCTATGGTGTGGCTGGACTGTGGGTGATCTGAAAAACTGATCAAGTCAGCAATAGCTGGACTGGACAACAGCTTCTGCTCCAGGGGGTCCGTGGTTAATGGAAGGGTACCACTCTGTAAACTATCTCCCGAGGTACTTTGCTTCAGGAAAAAGCTAAGTTACAACAGGAATGGGAGGGAAGAGAAACAGAAAGCATAAGATTTAAGCATAGTCATTAAAAAAAGTTATGAATCTCTACCTTTACTTTCAAAAAGTAATAAAAATAAGGAAACACAACATTAAAAGCTTGATCACTGTAACTTATATAGGCACAGTAAACAAAGTAAACAAACACAGAGATCTGATCTGCAAAAGAAGAAATCCTATGCTGTAAGTCATTAGTGACCTTCATTTATCATGGTTCCCCATCAACAGTATCTCAATAACTGACACATCACTGAAAATTGCTCTTACTGTAAAGTGACATTACTGACTAGGAGACTATACCATTACAGGTACAAGACAGCAGGAATGTGTCATGCTTTGCTAAGTTTCAGCATTAGAGAACACTAATGAAAGCTCTGTTTCACAACAATAACCACTACAGTGAGAATACATTTTAAATTACCTTAAAGTAAGTTGCAGCCTTCGCAGTGCAATTAAAAAAAGGTAAAAATAGTAAGCGGAGAAGCTTAAACTGGAGAAATACTGGAGAAACAATAAGCTGCAGCATCTGTAACTAAAAGCTGCTAGTAAATTTAATTTGGGTGCAATTCTTTGCTGACAGATTTAAAAACTACTTTATATGCCTTTAATGTTCATGATCCATTAGCTTTATTTTAAAAGCTAAACAAAACCAGATTTATACCTTCTGTACAGTTATACTTAGAAAGAAAATATAAAAAGTGGTAAAAGGCAACTGGTTCTTTGCTTTTTGGCTATTTTACAATGAAATGCAACAGCGTACATGACTTACAACTTCCTTCAGTACAATCATGACCATCAAACAGGCAGACATTCTTGCAACCATCGAGACAAAAATACTGGAAAAGATAACTAAGATCCTTTTGGAAAAAAATATAACTTTGTACCAAGTGCAAAGGCAGAAAAAGAGTATGCATAAAACCCACTAACCTTGCAGAGCCACGTAGGTCTTTAAATTCAATATTAAGTAAAGGTAAGAAGATACTTTTACAGAAAGGACAGGTAGTGTTCAAGTTTGAATCATCAGCTGTCCATCCAGCCATAATTTCTTCATCATAAACCAAAGCACCACAAGCTCTACATTGAGAGCAGCTAGACATCAATACCTAAAACAGCCAAGAATTAGTATTATCAGTCTTGTTTCAGGGTTTTTTAATAATTAGCTTTATAGGTTTAGTGTCCACAGGAGTTTAACAGGTATCAGAATGCCAGCTGGGAGACATGAGTTCATCACTGCTTACTGACCATACTTCAGTTATCTTGTCAGCATAAGTTTTAGCTATGAAATACAAATACTAATAATTTATTTTTGTTTGTTATTGTCAGACCTGGAAGAAACATTACCCTGAAATGCTACAAATTTAGCATTTGCAAATGTTCACTCCTGTGAAGCCTCCAGTGTATATGAATTGCTTTGAATTGTGTAAGTAAATGCATGTCTGCTTCTACAAAAAAGAAAACAAACAAAAAATCCCACAAACAAACTAATCAAACACAAAAGAAACATTTATAGTGATGTTGTGGACCTTGGCTGGATAAGTTTATTAATCTTACCTCCATTGCATAGTTCTGGAAAATGCTGGATAGGCTAGTATTATGTGAAGAGCTTTGCTCTGACTTCTCAGGATCTTGAACTTTCATACTTCTTGGCAATGAAATTTCACCTGCACAGAAAGAGCTGATTGGGTCTTGTATTCAACGAAAGAGTAATTCACCTCTTCCCGAAGAATATAACTTCTTAAAAATATGTGTAGCTCTGTAACTTCACTGATATTAGAATTACAATATCAATAAATATCATTTTTGTGTTTAACATTTAGAAGTTATTTTTGTCTAACACAATATATCACAAACTGATGAAACAAAAGAACAAAGAAAGAATGGAGAATGGCAAACAGCAGTAAGATTGCTCAATACATATACTTTTAAAGGTTGTTCAACATTTCTTGAATGATACATCCATATGTAAATAACAAAGAGAAGAACTGTACCAGGGAAGATACATGATACCAAATATGCCATTATTGTGCTTAAGTTATCTCTGGCTAACACTGCAGTAAAACAAATAATCTTTCTTTGGTGAGGCTGGGTTTAGGGTTATGAGCTTTGCCCAGGAGGGAAAAAGGAGTTGGAATGGATTTACCAGAAGGAAATGGTTGGAATCAGTTTTAGAAAGCAAAACTACCAGCACTACTTCCTCTGATGATCCCAAACTTTCCTATTAAAAAAAAATAAATCACTCTCTAAAGAAGGCTCCTCTGCTTCTTCAGCTAAAGTTCATGTTTGTGAAAAAAATTTACATATTCTGTTGACAGCTGCCACTCTTCATAGTTAGTTCTTATAACCCTCCTAACTAACTGGAACTAGAAGATCATCATGTCAGGATTTTGCTAGGTAAGGCCAGCTTATCTCCACTCCACAAAATAGTTCTTCCTCCCTTGATGCACATGGCTTTGTGATATTCACATCATTAAAGTATTGCAAAGAAAGGTAAACCAAACCTACATATCTTTTTCTCAAAATAAGAACCAAATCTGAACTGGAAATTATTAGATTTACTTCATGCAGTTTTAGAACTTTGGGGAGTTAGGGAAGGGCAATTTAGCAATAGGCATATATATTAACCTATTTATCTTCACAACTTCAAATCAAGTATGCATCCATTACCTCCCATTCCACAGTTAAAACTTAAGAATTTTTTGTGTGTGTTGCTTTGGGTTTCTTGGCCCTTGGGGCTGTGGAGTTGGTTTTATTTTTTATTTCCACCCCCACCACTGAAAGATCTGCCTCTGTTAGTTATGCAACTATTAGCAGTTTTGCAGTTCTTGGACACTGCTCTGCTTTTCTGTATTAGTATTTCAAGAACTTTCAGGATATTTGACTTTCCATGACTGAGCATATGTTCCTGGCTATAACTAGCTAGCAATCTTCCTATCACATATACAGAAGTATATTTACAGTTAAATTGCTGTGGTTTTTTATCAATTTTTTAAACATTCAATGAAGAGAAGCATTAGCTATTTGCTATCACAAGATGGAAGTTTAGAAGAGAAGTACAAATTTGCTTGTACTTCAGGGTTTTAAATAATTTCAAATTACCATAGCTTCCATTGTTATGAATCATTTCACACACATCTGTTTTCCCTGTTTGTTACATTATAAACAAGTTATGATGGAAAAAACAAACAAACAAATAAATAACCCAAACAAAAAACCCCAATCTCACGTGCACTGTAATGCTGCCTTCCTGCCTCTCCACTGCTACTGCTACTGCCAAGACTAGTAGTGCTTTGTGCAAGCTCATTTGTAATGAGCCCTGGGACACCAGTTCTTGATGTCAGATTATCTCCCAAAATATTATCTTCAAAACCAGCAGGGAAGTTAAAGTCCGGTCGATTGTTTTCTTCCTTTAATACAAAAAGAAGAAAAATAGCATTCCAGATCAATTATTTGACTTCCATTTTATCCTAATAAATAAAGAATTAAGGAGCAGATGAAAACCCCATGTAAAAAAAATTCTTACATTTAAGATAAATCTATGCAACCCCAAAAAGAAGAGATGTTGGACAAACCACAATGATATTGGAAAAATGAAAGGCTTCATGAGCAAAAATACTTAGCTGAAGATCAAACTGAGTGACAAAGCAACTGAAATATAAATGTCTTTATTACAGGAGAAACAGAAAAAATGATGCAAAAATTTTGATTTGGCAAACATTACTCAAAATTAAGAAATTATCAGGAAAAAGGAATTATCAGAAAAAAAAAATCAGAAAGTGAAATTTCCAGAATTGAAAACAGGAATAAAACGTATCAGCTGAAATGATGCAGCAATAACACAGTCACTAAGCCACAAGATGCAATGAAGTATGAAAATTAGGATATTAAAAATGAAAAGTTGCAGAAATAAGACAAAAGATTTTTGAGGGAAATCAAATCATGTTCAGGAGAGATTATGATGTGCCATTAAACAAAATTCTACAGAACAGGTAAGTATAATAGAAAAGCACACAGCAAAACCTAAGCCACAGAAAAAAAAAATTGGAAAGAAAGGTAACGAGTGAGTTTTCACTGTCACAGTCAGAATCAGCTTAAACGAATACTAGTAAGAAATATATATTTTTTTTATTTAATAGAAAAGACCCTATTAGTAACATAAGTTAAATTTTCTTCACATAGAAATAAAGCCAGAGAACTATCTTTCCGTTTCACATCTTTTATAAAGTTTGAGGAATGGAGGGAGAATTTGAAAAAGGAAACAAGAATCTGTCTTAACAGCCTCACAAGGAGAGACAAAAGATCCTTAAAGCCAAATCAGATTAAGGGGCTAAATGGATCAAGCAGGAGCCTTTAGGATAACAAAACAAAACAAAACAAACAAACAAAAAAAAAAAAGGCCAAACCTAAGTTTGAAGCCACAATAACAAGACATATATGTAAAGAAGGAAGTTATAATATTCATTCCTCCATCTCATCTTTCATTTGTGTCATTATACTCTATGCTGCTTTACTCTGAAAAAGACTGTTAATCAATTGCGCTCACACAAGAACCGTAACATTTACTTTTAAAATTTCTGATGAGTGAATTTACTAGATCTCAGGCTGTCCTTTTCTACTTTCAACTTTAAATCACCAACCTGGCTTCTTAGGTTTGATTTTTCATAACCTTTCCTTAATTTTTTAAAATAAGACAGGTAGTACGGTATCATTTAAGATGACATAATTTTGCTCTTTGTAGGGTTTCTTGGTGCAGTTTCTTTAAACATAGATAAATAAATAAACAGGGAAGGGGGAATGTTGAGAAAAAAAGGTTAAATTTTAAGCTTACTGCATCAAGACTATTTAATTTGATTTTGTCTGAAAAGTGTTTTTTAATGACAGAGAAAAACTCCACCACACATTAAGTGCTATTTGTGTTAGCTAATGAAAGCTAATACTTGATAAAAACACCATCTCATGAAGCAATGTTTTGGACACAGACTTATGATTCTAGCTTTGTCTACCCAAATTTTTCACGTTGGAAAACACTTGCCTCATCATCTGAGTAACTATATGCTGAAGTTACAACTCCCCACATCTTACTGGCTACATTGGCAGCCTGCTTCATGCCTGATTTCAGGACATCCATTTTTGGTCCAGACAGTATATTGTCCAGCTTCAGATTGGATAAAGTTGTTACGACAGACCCTAATGAGCCATGTGGAGAAGAACGACCCAGTCCTGTCAAAGATGAAGACCGCTCCTTTTGAACTTGCAGGTGGGTTTGTTGCTTTGGTCGTACAGTGAATGTTTTGGATCTGGAGACAGAAGGACTACTCTGACTTTCATAAGACTTTGGGAATGGCAGGACAGGATCCAAAGGCAGGCTTGACCTTCTTTCTTGGGAGTGACCAAGTGTACCAGAGGATTCTGCTTCCCTATCCAGCTTGTGCAGTTCCATGCTGGGAAACTTATTACCCAAGGGGCTCTTCAGATTCATATAACTTTCTATTTCATCTGCCAAATTACGCGCTGCAACTGGTGACACCAACTGTTCCTCAGGTTCCAGATGCCTTGGTTCTGTGCTGTCAGTAGCCAGCAAAGATAAAGGGTCCAAGCCTACTTCAACATCTTCCCTTTCAATAGGCTTAAGCACTCCATATAAGCTATTCCTTTTAGTACTTCTGTCTTTGGATTCTGGTTTCTCGTTTTTGGACTCAACTGACTGTTCTAGGTTTAGGGCTTCCACTGTGGTCAAGTTTTCATCTCTTCCATTCTCAAGATACTCATGCCCTTCCCCAGGTTCTTCCAGCACTGGTGAAGATCTATGCTCCAATTCCCAGTCACTCTCAGTCGCACAATTCCACGTGCCACTTATGCCAGAAATCTCCTGGTCAATAATGCTTTCAAAGTTGTGGGATTTCCTCATGTGAGAGGGTGAAGTTTTGGCCCCAGATAAAGCTGCTGTTAGGATCTTGGCATCTGCTCCCATCATTATTGCCAATTCTTTAGAATGCAAGTCCAAGCTGCCTTTTTTCATGAGCATTCCTGCTCTGCTTTCACTGCTGAAACTGCAGCTTCTCTCTGAAAACAGTTTCTGCCTCTTCTGTCTTCTTTCACTTGTTTTCTTAGGAGAAACATCGCCAAAGACTGCATCTTCAGCTGAATCCTGAGTTATGACCAGTGGACTAGAACCGGTTTCTAAAAGAGAAAAGGCATTAATATGGTATCCATAGCCACAGAAAATGTTTATTTCCTGAAATCATGTGAAATCTCTGTATCTCCTTACTGGGGAGAAGACCTGGAGCTCCACAGTCTCAAGTTACGCATTACTAAGTTACACCAGCATTAACAAGTTATTTTATTGGCTGCAAAGGCATCCTGCAGATCAAAAGTCATCTACACTTTGACTCCCTGAAGTCAAAGCCTTTTATGGCTTCTGCCTCCTTTCCCTGTGCCAATACTTGGCACAGACCAGGTACTACATCCATTAACCAAGGGAAAGTGCAATTATAAGTAAGATTGTTCTGGGGTTTTTTGGGTGTTTTTTTTTTTTTTTTTTTTGTTCAGATTTGTTTGGGGTTGGTTTTGTTTTGTTGTGGGTTTTTGTTTGGGGTTTTGTTTTGTTTTTCCAGAGCTATATTCAGAGTTGTATACATCAAATTCCATCCTGGTTCTAGAAAAAAAAACCCACAAAACCCAAACCTATTGTGTGTGTCTGCACAACATAGAAGCATCATTTCATTTATGACACAACCATTTTTAGAAAAAGCTCATTAAATTTACCACATGGATGATATAAACTGAATTTATAAATATTCCCATTTCCTTGGGGAATTGGAAATACTTATTGCCTAGAAAGCTGTGTTGGCTATAAAATAACCTCCCTAAGTCAAGCACCCTGATGTACCACATCCCTCTACTGGAGGGTGTTTGAGTCTCATATTGATGCTGCTTCTTGACTAGTCATCAGCTCTCATAATTGCCAGAAAGGTTCAGGACCACTTTTTGCCTGAGGCTCAATTATATGATTTGCTACTAAGCTATACTGAAGCTGGACTACATTGCCTGAGTCAAGAAAAGGCACAAAGGCAGAAAAAAAATAAGCCCCAAGATTTGGCTTTTATATAAAAGCCAAAGTCTTCCAACAAGTCTTCTTCACTGTAAAGCTCTAGATAGGTAGATAAATTTTGTATGGCTGTGCATGCACTGTTCCCAAGTTACACAGTGGCAATGTAAGACAGGAAAAAAAGAGGCTTGTCCAAGGTTAGTGAGGTTTAAGTGCAAAAGGAAGAGTAATTCTTTTGTTTGCATGCAACTGTCATGCAAGTTATATGCACCTCAAATAGATGTTTTGTTTCATTCCACAGCATGAAAAAGACTGCAAAACATATAGTACAACAAGATCAGTGCTTCAGCAAGCTGTTTCACCCAGTGACTCACCACTACCGCTTTTCCTTCCACTGCTATCAAAAATGCCAGATGGAACTTTCACAATACTGCTACCCCAAGCAGGTGGGTCTGCTGGACTATGAGTTTCTATATTCAGCTGTCGCATTTCATCAAATTTCTCATTAAAAACCTCTACGAGAAAGAGAATGAGAACTTAAGTTAATTCAACTAAATAATTTCATTTACACCATTACAGAAAACAAACTCAAAACACTGTTCCCTATGTAATTATAACCTAAAGGATCAGTCCTACAAGGCACTGAACACTTCCTGGACATAACACCCAGACAGATGACACTAGACAGTATTATGCAGAGAGTGCTTAGCTGTTCACAAGGTTAGGAAATATGCCAATTTCTTCCCACAGTACTTTTTCAACTAACTGAAGTAGAGCAGGAAGGGCAGTTCACAAATTTTCATGCAGGGTCTTTGCCTAATAACAGCTTTAGAAGCCCTAATGAACATTCAGGACCTCGTAACACAGATGTGGAAGAGATTCAGTAATGAGAACAACAAAATACAGAAAACCTAAGAGCAAAACCAGGATGGAAGACAAGAGATGACCATTATTTTCTACAACTGGGAAGAGTCTGCAAGAAAAAACAGTGTCTTTTATTAGGTCAACTGGTACAGCTGAAAATTCAGTCAAGTTTTCAAATACAAAAATGAGAGGAAAGGAATACAAAACACTGTGTGTTCCAGCACTTGTCCAATTTTTCCATCTACATTAAATTAGTCTAACAAAAGGCCTTTTCTACCTCTATGTATTCTACTGCTATTATCTAGGGCACAGAAGTAGGCCACTAGATTTCACAGACTCATGTTTTGATCTTGGCAACATTATGAATTCAATACATTAGATACTCATAGTAGTCTAATGCATGAAGCAGATTGATTACAAAAAGCCTTCATTAGTGTAAACATGCATACTTAACCTCCTATTAGATCTTCAGCTTTAGAAGAAGTATCTTTCTCTACTTGTGTTTCAGTTGCATGAAGACTATCCCCATCATCTCTTAGAAGTTCATCCTTGGATCCATAGCCCTGGTCTGACTGACCACCTGCATGGAGGAATACAAATGTATGCCTCAGATTTGGTTTTATTTCCTTCTTTTTTTTTCCCTTCAGTAAGAAAAATATAAAAACTGAAATTAATCTGTTTTTTTTTGTTGTTGTTGTTGGGGGTTTTTTTCACCAGAAAAGTTCATAGTAAAATCACCAAAGTAGGTAATCTGTGAACAGATTTACTTGGTGATGGTGACAGCAGAGATAATGAGGGAATACACTATAAATTTACTTTTCTAATTATCATATTAAAACCAACTTATTCCCTAAGGAAAACTATAGCGACTAACTACTTTTAATGCACTTTATCTCCTTTCACATTTCTTTGAGCATAAAATATTTCATTGCTGGGCAAATTAATTCTCAAATGCATCTACAAAAGAAATTACAACAAGCACAACAGCAATTGAGTAAGCTTCTAATAATGAAAACAACCCTGAAAAGAACTGTACCATAAACCGTGCTGTATCCTTGTGCTATAGTGCAAAGTATAAAATATGACAGAAAAAAAAAAAAAGTAAAAATTGAAACATTTTTTAAAAAGTTTGTTCCTCCATGACACCAGTCATTGAGCTATAACTCAATCTTAACAAGAGTTTACAGTAGTCCAAAAAGCCTGTACGATCAGGAAACAATATAGAAAGACATTTTTATCTTTTCTTTGTTATTTTTATCTTAAATGCTGCATATGCAAAATACAAAAATACTATATGGGGCATATCCCACAGCAACATGTTAAACAGGATTATTTATATGCCCTAGGGTACCTATTAGAATACATGAGAGTATTGAAAAACATCAAAGTGTAAGTAAGTTAGACAGTGTGAAAGGTATTAGGAACCTCCATAAAACTTGAGTGACAGACACAGTTTACCTACAATACCTATTACTGCTGCTTATTTTACCAACAAACTGCAAATGTAAAGATTATTTAAATTTAAAAGTTTGTGCAGCCACCAATAATTACATTTGGCTACTGTATTAAAAAAATTTTACACAGAAAAGTAGGTCCTGACATTCTTCCATCCTTATTTTCCCTCTACCATCATTTCAATAATGGCTGCTTTGCACAGAAGTAAAACCACCCTATCAATAAATGGGTGAATTACCTGCAGAAGTAACATTCAAGGGTAGAAATAATGCACACGTGCATCCAAGGCTTCACACCATACAAGTCTGCACCCCACACCGTGATAGCCAAGGACAAATGCGGCACTCAAGAGACAGCAAAGAGCGAAAAGCAGAGCAACAAAGAGCAAAGAGAGGGAAGTTCAGTAATCTAGGCAGGCATATCAGATGAAGCACAGGAATCAGCCAAAGTTTTCTTTACAGAAGGGCTCAAGATATTAAAAACATGAAAAGTGTGCAAGAACCATTTGTACTTTAAGTTTTGAAGTACACACAGAAAGAAAGTTTAGTTGAGACTGTGCACAGGTAGGACGTAATCATTATTTAAGCAGATACGGAGAACTAGGGATTTTGTCTTGCCATCTCAAGTGATTAATTTCCCGTACACACTTTTTACTCCAGTTTGTCTAGAAGAGTGCATACTATGTTTAAGTCAAGAGTTTTTCCCCAGCTTGTCACCTTTCTCATACAGACTGTATGACAAGGTTCTTATAGTTTCTGTATTTATTTCCAAGTTTAGCAACTACTACTAAGAAGCTCGAATATGGCCTCTAAAAGCACAGTTTACTATAACCAAACACCACATGCTAACTCCAGGAATGCTGATTAGGCATTTCCGGATTACCATATGGTAATTTCCAGATTACCGTAAGGAACACCATTTTAAAGAGTTGGCTTCTAATCATCTTAGCAACTTTCACTCCTTTCCTTTAATGCAGAGAACGGTTTTACTCACACAGACTATAACTTCTGTTAATAAATAATAATACGTAAAATTTGTCAGATGCTTCATACCTTTTCTGAAGATTAGCATAAAAAGCAAGGTTTATGAGACCACAGCAAGACATTTATTTTAACAGGACAGTATTTGGTTCACTCAATGGTTGCTATGGTTCACTCTAAAGAAAAAGCATGAACTGAAAAAACAGCATGATCTGTGGTAAAGGAGTAATATTCAACAGTGGGGTATTTCTTTTTCTTTACACAGTTTAACTCCATGTTTTGTTCTTTACAGACCCAAAGGTGAAGGTGGTGATTGTGGAGGAGAAATCAAAAGGAAACTATAAAATTTAGCCTTTTGGAGGTCTGCTAGTATTGAAACCCAGCAGAATCTAGTACCTGTGCTAGACTGATTATCAAGGGAATCAAGCCTGACTAAGTCACTGACGAAGACAGCGTGCTCCCCACTGTAAGCGTCATTAGAGCTATCCACACTACCATGGCTCACCAAGTCCCCAACACTTCCACCCCTGGCACTTCGCAGAGCTAAAGACATGAACGAGAGCTGGTTAGTAAGAGAGGATTTAACTTCTTAGTTTTTCAAACAGATCTAACCTCTTCAGATAACAGTAAATACTTTTGCTTGCACATAAAAATAAGAATATGAAATTCTAGCAACAGAATTCAGACAATTAATTCTTCGGTTTATGAAAGACATTTCAAGATGGTTTCAAGCATCAAGTTGGCAATTATCAATTTCCATACACATCAGGAAAGATTTTCCACTTGTGAAAGTCACAAAGTTAGCTGTAATCCCTCAGAAAGCATGTCATGCTCTTGTCCAGCAGAAATAAGTTCATTTAACTAATTTATTACCTGATATCAAAGGTATTCGTGGGCTCTGCGTTGATTTCTTTAAGCACTGCCTAAACTGTGCTGTGCCATGAACTACATTTCGTACCTTTGTCCAAAGGAATATGCCACTGCGGTTACTGCTAGGCCAAGATGACTCTAAGACTGCCTACAGAAAAAGACATAGCAATAACAAAACCAGTAAGAAAGTTACACTAATAAACACAGCACAGTGAGAAGCTTTTCTTTCCGTACTCAAAAAAAGACATTTCCTGTCAACCATGTGAAGAAACACATTTATTTGTGTTTTTATGACCTGTTCCCTTTTATAAGCTATTCCTTTTATCCCACAGCTCTGGATACAATAGCTGAGTAACAATAAATAACGGATTAAGATTTCTTTAAGTAAACAAGATGGGGTTTGTTCTTATTTATACACTTTGGCAGCAACAAAAGATCATCTCTTTTCCCATGACTTTACAAAGTTTACTTTACTAAGAAGTTTCATCAGGATCTAGCAGGAACTTGGAAGCAAGGAAAAGGGGGGAGGCTACTTCAGTTAGCTTAATTCCAGCCTTCATCCAGCATGGATCCTGCTACTTTAAAGGTTATACCTAGGAACACATGGATTTGACGTGGAAGCACTAGACAGGTTTCAAAATGTGGAAGTGGAAACATGATAAATGTGTATTTCAACAGAATTTTTGGCTAGCCAAACAGCACAGGGATGTAAACTTAACAGTGTAAAATCATACAGTGTAGATCCACTGAACCATAAGCTTTCCAAAATGACCGCATGCCCAGCAGGATCAGCATATCCAAGTGAAGAGCTGTAAGAAACGATCCTCAAGACACGCTACAGGACAAGGGGAGAGACAACAGAGACAGTGGGCCAGTACCCCTTGCTAAGACTTCTCTTACCTTATTGTAATAACCATAGGTGATTGCATTTGGCTGTATTCCAGCATTTTTCATTTCAAAGAGGACTCTCACAGCCTGAACAGGCTGTCCCCACAGTCCACAGAGCTGCATAACAACTCTGTAGCAGACCTAACAAGATACAGAAATGCATAAATGGATTGATGACAAGGATTTTGAAACAGCTTAAGCTCTTCCCTGATTTCCAACTTCTACACATGTAAAAGGGAAAGCCGTGTGAGGGCAGCTACCCAAAACTCAACAGCCAGAAGAGGGAGCAAGAGTTAAACAGGAAATCACACTAGCTGAAATAACATCAGCAGTCCCTTTGTTGAGAACGCTGAAGTTTTTTCCACTCGGTTCTTCTGTTTGCGAAATGAAGGAGGGAAGGAAACACCCACACAAAAAGCAGGAGAACTTGCTGCTGTGTGCCTGTGCATACTACTGAAAGAAAGTATGCTGCACACAAACCCATTATCCCTTCAGTTCAGTAAGGCTGTAAAATATTAATGCAAAGTGCATTTAAAAACCAGGATATTCAAGAACTTCCTTCTTGAAGAAGTCTGGGAGAAGATTAGCAACACTAATCTCAACACTAAGCTCATGATGAAAAAGAAAATGCATTTCCAGCTGCCCTAGTTAAGCAGACTTCTTTGAGATCACTTCAAGGTGTCTTTAAAACAGGTCAAACTGTAAGTATGCTCAGTCTGGTGGTGAAATGCGCTACATTTGCACCTTGTCTTCTATCCCATGTTTTATGATAACAGTTTTTCCATTCACACTTGCCTCATCTAGTGGTTCCACATCAGTTTTCCTCATTTTAATTAGAACATCGTATGCCTGCTGCAGTGCTTTGACCTTGAGATGTGCAACTCTGACATAGGCTGGCAGACAAATAAACCACAGGCTGTAACTATGACTGAAGAGACACTTTGCCCATTGTGGGGGACTTAAGTAATACTTCTTGGCTAATTTATGGGCTGTTTTTATCTCCTGTAAGGGTGACAAAATAAAAAAGCACACAAAAGATGTAACATCCTGAATGTAGAAGCCATTACTCAGATACTGGCTCCTTAAAGGTAAACATTTAGTAATAATGGACAAACATTCAACTGAAGCTCTCTTCTTACCACTCTGTTATTAAGACTCTCTGCAAGCAAAAAGGAGCATCAGGATCCTCTTTTTTTTTTTTTTTTTCCCTTCACCATTTGAGCACTAATTTTAATTTGCTTTTTTTTTTTACTACAGACTAAAAAGTGCTTTTGATAATAAACTGTAATCTCAGAGGCTAATTTCTTTATTCGCTGCCCTCTGTTTCTTCCTTTTGCAAGTGTTGATTCTCAGTAGTTACAAAGACCTAACCTCTAACAATATTAACTTATAAATAGGAAGTGCCAATTTTACCAAAAACCTTTGTATATTTCAGTGTTCATACAGTAATTACAGTAAGACTCATCTGACCTGTTTTGTCCTCTTTGCCATAAGTGCAGGACTATTTGAAATGCTGCTTCCAGCTGAGTGTCTGCTGAAGGAGAGCTTGAGCTCCTGCGGCCTGTCAAAGAGCTTGAAATCTAGTCGTGGGAAGTTTTTATAGCTATACAGATGAGAAACAAAAAAAAAAACAAACAGAAAAGAAAAGCTTTTCACGTACCTGATGATATCAGGAAAGTCATACAAAGACAATTTGTGTGCAAAGAACTGACAAACATGAGAATAAAGAAGTAGGGGGTGAGGCGTAAAGAGGGGTAAAAAGGGGGGGGGGGAGTGGGAAGAAGAATATAGCAAGACCCTTTAAGCCTTATTCACAAAGATATTACAAGAAGATGCCTTGGATATTAGATCTCCATAGACAGTGGAAACAAGAACTAGAATGCCATTCGTGTCATGAAGGTCAGGGAAACACAGATGATGATTAAACCAGGGCAACAGTTGGAAATAGAACCTTTGTGACCTCCATGAAAGACGGAAGAAAAAAATCATACGTGGTGTCTGAAGCTCGAAATTTCCTGCACAGGGCTGAAAAACACTGAATGAAAGTCTGAAAAGTGGAGTGAGTGTTTTGATCTTTTGGTTCACCAGCTGGAGACCAACAGTACCGGGCAGATCCATTACCCACTGCTCTGTCACTCCAACTGAAACAAAGTGCACTGCAGTTGATACAAAATACACATAAATGGCTCAGACAGGAAGACACTGAAGACAAGTGGAAAGGTATTACTGTAAAGTTAGCAAGAAGCTACTGAAAAATAAAAATCAAAATTCACACACAAAACGCTGACTTCCAGAGCGTCGGAAACGTACCAGAATCTGGGCGGTTCCCACCTTCTTAAAGATTCTTCTGAGCATTATAGTAAGGCAAGTCTCACCCCAAGATGGAACATCTGCACTGTTTAACAATCTAGTTAATCTACTTTTACCAGATGTGGCTGTTTAACTTGTACCTGTATTTTGGCACTCGGTCCTGTCCATCATCAGCAGGAGGTTCTGGTGGCATTATGAACACTGTGTGTTCACTTTTTTGTGACTCATCAAGCTCAATCAACCGTGCCTCTTCAACAGAATCCACATCAACCTGAAAACATAATTGGAACTCTAAGTACATAGTCTGACTTCAGGATAAAATGTCCTTTTTAATACTATGTTAGTACCTGTAAAAATATTCTTAATATATACTGTACTTGATTATATATATATATGCAATATATAAAATTATATTTATTCTGATTATTCAAACATCTTTTTCATTTTTATTTCTAAATCAGATATCCCTAAACATTTTGAAGGACAAAGTACCTTCTCTCCTTTTTCTGTTCCTTTATCTGGAAAGAGCTGGGAAAAGAGAAAGAAAAAACTTATTTTCTTAACTAAAAAAACAAAATAATAAAAAAAAATTAAAAGTTCCCAAATAATTCTGTTAAAGTTCTGTCATTTATTGAAATATTGAATAAGAAACAATAAATTTTCACATTAGTGCAGAGGCAATCAATCTCTTTTCAAATACTTCCTTTGCTGAAAGTAAACAACTGCAGCAATCAGCATGCTTCCAATCTGTTGACATTATCTACTAAGTACAAAATCCTAAATCTATCAAAGGAAAGTGCTTTCATTCAGTTAAACTTAAGAATCTGCTATTTTCAATAGACAATTTAAGAATGCAACACATTAACAACCTGCAATAATAACAAACTATTAACAATATTAAACATAGTATAATCTAGATACATACTCTATATCCATACCCCATACTCAGCAGAAAGAAAAATAAGGCAAAGAAACTTTTAAAAACCTAATTTTAGGGTCTGTTTACAAGTGTTAATTTGTTTGGAATCAATACTAAATCAAAGACTCATTCTGTAAGAACTTAGTATGAAAATTAAAGTTCTGTCCAGAAAGAATCATATATATAAACCTTTAAAAAATACATATAATTCTCTTGCTCCCAATTTTTGTATTGTGAACTCCTCATTCATAGATGAAGCTATGAACTCAGTAGCCCATCCACACCAGAAAGATACTGAAGAGACTTTTGTTTCAAAGAGCCAAGAATGGGTTATATAGCTTTCATATAAAATACAGACAATAAAAAGGGATCTGATCTACATGAATCAGTTTAGACTGTAAGTGGAGCACTAGGTGTGTTTTTGTGGTTTAGGTTTAAATTGAGCAACAACGGCTGATGACCACTGGTAGATAATTCCACATTAGAGGAAGGGTGATTAACTTTCAAGGGGAGGACATGGATGGCATTGTGCTGAAGTGTCAGCGACTGGTATTTCTCACAGTATCTTATAGTTTGACATGGTAAAGGGCTTTAATGAAATTTTGTGCATCAACAAAGAAAATTATGATCATGCAAAAAGATTAAGGAATAAAATGACTCCACAATAGCCATGAAGAATTGCAATCCCTTAAACAGAAGGTATCTATCTTTAAAACTAAAAACCAGGACAATAACACAAAACTGAAGTATATATTAACAGTGTTGCAACACAGTTTTCACCTTTTCTATGCAGTCATCAAAAAATGCCAAGCCAGTATCCTTGTCACTCACAAAACTGCACTCTTCAATAAAGCGGCTGAATATCTGTGTTTTGGTGAGATGTGTGTAGAATTTTGTATAGGCACGGTCTCTGCTTTTTAAAAATCCTGGTTAAAAAAATAACAGACAACTGAATACCCGTTACAAGTACCGTAAGAAATTAACATGTAAAGTGTCAACATTAAATATTTAAAGTGGTAATACATAAAGTATTGATCCATAAAAACAATTACTGAGCACTAGTTGCAGGTGGAAGATTAAAATAACAGCATTTTTTACGTAATTATTTTTACCATAGTTGACAATATTTGGCAAACAGCCACCTCCATGTATTCTGCTGTGTTTGTTGACTTTTTGTGCAAGAAAAAAGAAATGATTACCTTGTATAAAACCACAAATACCTAACAGTTAAAACAATACTAAAATTAAAATTGTTATCCCAGGAGGTGTGGGCCTGAAAACATTTAAAACTTTCCAAATCTTTGACTAAAAATTTCTTCTCAAATCTCTCTTCCATTAATTAAAATACAAAATGGGACAAACCCCCCAAACAAACAGGCAAACAAAAAAACCCAAAGCACAACCACCACAAATAAAAAAAACCCTTGTGACATTTTGTCTAGCATTCAATCATAAACATCTGAAAAGTCAAGGTGATGAGGAAAATAAGATGACCTTTGCTGACCGCTGTTTTGTTTGTTATATTTCTGATCTCTACCCCATTCTCTATTATCTTCCCATTTATATAAAGAGCGTTATTTTCCTCTTCATTATAGGGCTTCTGGCATTTGCTTTGTACAAATTGAGAAATTCTTAACATTCCAAATTATTCAAATATTCCAAATGCCCTTATGGAATATACCACACAGACAGTGCATCATGCTACTGAACGACAGTTTTTCTAATACTTCAGATAATGCAAAATTGAAGTTCTATGTGTGTATATCCATATTCTAACCACATTTGAATAGTTTAAGTTTATACAATTGCAATTTTAAATTTTGCTAAGATCTGTACAACCAAAGTGAACGTTGAGCTTTTGAAGTTCAGCACCTCCTCAACCCTAAAACTGTAACACTGCCAATGCTACCAGCAGCTGGTTTGCCTCACCCTCACCTTGATGGTCAAACAAAGAATCAGCAGCAGTTGCTTTATTTGAAGGTGCCTGTGTGATTGGCTTGAGGAATGTTCTGTAACCCTTTAAAATAGATGCCATAAAACGGAGAAAAGCTTCCTGGATCTCCATCTCGAGTTCTGTCATTTTCTTCTGCCAGGAGAAATCTGCCTCAATAGGAGTCATCTCCACTGCAGACCCTTCTTGAGTTTTCCTATGAACTACCAATAAGAAACACATATAATCCTATATTAAAACTCAGTACATTCAAGCAAGTAAGTTTTACATAATGCTGACAATTAATTTTTCTTTTTTTATACATGCCCATATTCAGAAGTGACAAATACTAGAAAACCTGTGATTATTTTCCAGTTGATGTGGCCTATATAAAATACAGGTTACTTCAAGAGGTGATTTTGTGTTTTTCTAATTCATCCAGCCCTCTAGGACATAAAACAATGAGGAGGATCTCAGTTGAGGTAATGCTACCACATATACAACTGGATGTACCTTTCCAGTAATGTATCAACACAAATACAAAGGACCACATTTTCCCAGTTCTGAAGATTGCACATCCAGAAAAAAATGGCCTAAAACTATTTTTCTAGTCAAAATTCTAACATTTGAGTGCACCAAAGGGAAGAAACAAGTAGATGACATTCAGAGTTTACTCTTGCACTCTTGAAAAAACAGTAGCAGGTACTGCTGAAAATTTTATTTCCACTCTTTTTATCATAACAAAAATATCAATTGCCATAAAGTATTTCTACACTAGAAAATATTATAACGTATTATAACTTTGGCAATATTATAATATTGCCAAAATAGAAAAAAATATCTATCTAAAAAGACCACTGGTTCTGCTCAAGTTAAAATTAGGAAGCAATTCTGTATTAGGTAGATTTCATGACATACCCTGCTGATAAAACCAAAAGAAAAGTTGAGCTTTTCTAACACATGAAGTAAAGGGTCTCTGCAAAAAAAAAAAAAAAAACAAAAAGAAAAAGAAAAAAACAAAAGGAAAATTGAGGAAAGTACCTCTTAATGAATGCACTTTTCTGTTTCTTTAATTTACAAATTTTGTATATCTGTGAGGCTATACCATTGTTTCTTTCTCTGTAATGATGCAACCCAACTCTGAACCAGCTTACTTTAAAGAGCTTATCTACAGTTAGAAAGAAGAAATATCTGAAAACCGTTAAGTCAGATATAACTTTGCTCTCATGTGTCCAAGTCATTAGGCTGAAGAGGGTTAGTTTTTCTTTTTCTTTTGATAAAATACTTTGTCAAAATTTAGCTACTCGATTATTTTTGTAGAAAAGTAATTACCTGAGATATTCAGCAGTATTTGCACAATAGCTGAGATATTCTACATTATTTTACTCATATCCCCATTTCATCTATTATTTTTTATCATAATTGTGAATAGTTTTAGATCCAAAGGTGTTTTAGCTGAGTTGTTTTATTTAATTTACAATATTATATGATTTATACATTATATCTGTTAATATAATTTTATCATATTTAAACTATATAATTTAATTTATAATTAAATGTTTTATTTTTAAATTATATTTGTTATTATGCATTACATTTTATATTTAAATATTATTTAGTTATTAGTGAAAGCTAAAAAAAAAGCTGAAGTTTTGAGAAGTCACAGAAAAGTCTTAAAAAATAATTTACATCACATAGAAATAATTCCTTACATTTATATGAAAAGTATAATTTAAGACTTGTAGGTGTGTATCAGAAAATTTAAGTTTTTTTTCTGAATATTTACTTTTCCTGCTTTAGGCAACTTCTGTTCTTACCCCTTCCCATTTTATTTTATATATTTCACCTGCTGCCAGCTGTGGGTGCAGTTTCTTTAAGGTGCCGAGCAGACTTTTACATGGCTTCTTAGGAAACTGCTTCCAGTTAGTGCTCTTCTTATCATCTGATCTAAAACACAGCAATAGGGAAAAAAAGGATATATAAAATACAGATCATATGAAAAAGAACAGCTTCCACAAAAAAAAAAAAAAGAAAAAAAAAAGAAAAAAAGTTGAAAAGAAATCTTGTTACTGTCCCTATTTGTCGAAAATTGAAAAAAAAAAAAAATAGGGGTCACATTACTTAGAATTTAATTTTCTCAGATACAGAAGAGCATAAATCTAGTTATGAGTACAGTTCTTTCAAGTCTGTAAGGAGGATCCACATTAAGACTTCATTTTGACTTCTTAGTTGAAGTTTCACTTAGCTGATTTCCCTTTCATAACTTTTATCTATACTGCTAATAAAATTTAAGCACACTAAGAAGTGATTACTGTGCAAAGTCTATACCACCATAAATCTGCTATACTGCTACTGATACAAATAGGGGCAGCTTCGTACATAACATGAACTTGTTACTGCAAAATGCTGGAAGACTAGTCTGGGAGCTTTATGGGCATATGGTACACTGTAACATGTCTATGGCAATTCAGTTCCAGCTTCAATAACAGGCTAGCAGGGACTAGGAAGATTGGTAATTCAGTTCAGTTTGAGAATAATGTGAATGATTAAGCAATGGGGAAAAGTGGCCTAAAGGGATGCTAGTTTTTCTTAGAAGGACAACTGGTACAATGCCAAACCTTTTTCAAGCAGTTGAATAGAAAGAGCAAGAGAACGAGAACTCCTATGCCGCTTTCTGGAAGGTAGATGGTGGAGGAGAACTGCTATTAACAGGGAGCACAAAAAACCTGGCCACAAGACCTAATTAGTTATTAGTATCTGAGCAGATGCTGACACTGCTTGTTTTGCTTTCTTGAACTTTCATCAGTGAAATGTTTGCTCAATTATTATTTGGTCAGTTGGCATCAACACAGAACCATCTTATGAAGAAAGCCAAAGTTTCAGAAGTTGAAGGAAATATGCATGCCTACAGATGCCTTTGCCCATTTCTGTCCCCCACCATAATCATCATGGCTTGACTTCGCAAACGAAGATTTGGGAAGGGCTTTTACCCACGCTTACTACAAGCGCGCTGATGACTGAGAAGGCCAATGTGGGATAGGCAAATCCGGCTACAAAAAGCACAGCAGAAGGAAAAAGCATAAGTGGTTCTGTTCCAAAAACACAGATAAAAAATCCTGCTATAAAAATAAAACAAACTCTCAAAACCTTTACCCTAAAAAAGGCTACTTTCCTTAACCAGCTTTCAATGGAACTTTCACAGAGATAGTTGAAAATATCCCCAAAAAGGGCATTAAGGAAGATACTGAATGAATAAAAGGCCTTCAGTATTTTTTGGCAGTAAAAAAGCTTTAGTATATCATAATGAAGATAGCAGCAACCTTGCTTTAAAAAGACACCAGACAGACAGACGTACTAGAAAATACTGATTTTTTTCAAATGTTATTCTTCTATTATTCAGCCTTTCAAAGTCAGCAACAGTGCTGTCAAATGCTTTTATGCCAAAAAAAAAACCCACCACACAACAAAAAAAAACCCCCAAAACCCCAAACAATATTGCACAGAAACAGAAGTGCAGAAACAGAAATGGATGAAATAAAATAGAACATTAATCTTTTCTCACCATTAATGTAGTATTTTAGAATTCTGTATGATATTCAACAAAGTGCTTTATGGAGACGTAGTTTCACCTAAACATCTCCAAAACTGAAAAATATCCTAATTTCCAGGTTAAAATAAGTTTTATATTGGAGGCACCAACATATAACATTTACATAATTCAAATGTTACAGATGCCAAATTCCTCTGAAACTGAATTAGGTGGTACAGACGCAGCAGAAAAAATAAAAAGTTGATTATTGGAAGAGAAATTGGCTTATAAGATAATAAAAGAAAAAGTGCAATGATATTTACAGTTGAGTGCCTCATAACAGGTCAGCCATTGGTAGATTTATTTCAGTAACCAATCCAAGTAAGACTGGTACTTGATCTTTCTAGCAGTCATCCCAGCAGAATCTTGATATTTATCTTCCTGATAAATACCCTGTTTCCACCTCCTTCATTTTTCTGGAACCTAGTCTACAACTTCCATTCTACTTATGAACGTTCAGGTACTTTTCATTTCAAATACCTTTATATAACCAAGTTATCTTCCTTGAGTTTCCTCAATACAATCTTCTTACACAACACCTACTATACTTTTGATGGTATAATACCTTGATATACAGTGATCAAAATGCTTTTTGCAGTGTTTTTCAAGGGAAACTAGAGGAAGGAAAAAATAAACAAAAACAAAACAATCTGCTCTGTTGATTCATGTTTCCTTTGATGCTACTAATAAAACAAAGCATTTCAGTAATGTACAGGAAACATTTGTTTCAGTAGAGGCAGGGTCCTTTTGACACAATGAAAATCAAGAAAGTTAGTCAACTGACCAATAGATCAAATGACTAATTCAACTCAAGTTAATAAAAACAAATTCAAGAGTTAGAAAGATACATGAGAAAGATACAGAGAAAAGATGCGCACTTTATTCAGTGATTTTCACCCTCATCTTGAAGTAGCTTAGATGCCTCTGTTTATGATCTAATAAATTTAAAATGGAAAGGTAATTAATAAAATTACTAAATTAAATACCTGAAACAGATCAATTTTCAATTCAGTTATTTGGACTCTCATTTTATATATTATAGAAAAACAGAAAAGTTACTCTGAATCAGCCTCCTTCAAGAAGCTTTGAAGAAACTGTTCATGTGACACCTTCAACTTGACAAAAGCATTGAAAACATCATAATTAAGTGAAGATATTTTAGATTTAATGTAGTCAAGATACCAAATTCTGCTTGATTGATCTCACCAAATATACAGCACTTGTTACTTGAGAAAAACTAATTCACACTAACATAAAGTGCCCTGAGCGCACAACAGCATCAACAGCTGTCATACTGATATCAACAATCACTAAACACAGGTGAACCAAATTCAGAAGTAGTATGTCAAGGTGAAAATGCAACAAGTGGTGGAGCAGAAAAAAAACCCCAAACAACGAAACAAAAAAACCCCAAGCAAACAAAAACCTTGTTTAGGTTCTGTTTAACAGAAAACACCAAAACAACTCTTCTTCCTCTTCTCTAGCTTTTGTCCCACTTCCCTAATAAGCAGTATCACAAGTGGAAAAACTAAACCAGACCACATTACCACTATTACTAAACTTATAGCAACAACTACTTCACATTTTTATAGGTAGCACCAAGCACCGACCCTTGACTTAGTAAGTTTTAATTTGCTGTGAAGCATTAGCAATGAGAAAAAGAGCAGACTGCAATAAAAAAAAAAACATATTGGATATAATAGTGTTTATTAGTTTTATCTTCTGAGCATTTCAGCAATGTCTACATCTACAGATAAATGTAAAAATTCCACAGAACTTACATGTACACCATGTTTGTGTCTAAGTCAATGCACACAATATCCTGTGGTGGATCGTAGAGATCAAAGTATCGTGAATCAACTCCAACAATAAACGGAACAGGTGCACTGAGTACAGTGGCCAGAGACAAAGGACAGAGTGGGATGTATGGACATTGCCACTGAAATGGAAATATCATCTGAAGGAAAAATTGAATGAAATCCACGCATTAAAACAAGACAGTAGGTATGTACAATAAAGAGCCCAAGAACCTGCATGTAACAAATTGAAATGTAATTGTTAAAAACCTGCCAGAAAAGAGTCTTTAAATTTGACCAGTTATTTACAGCACATCTTTTAGTTATCTATGCAAAAATGCTTATCATTATAACAGTTACAATAACCAGACATGCTAGGGCACTTCAACTAAATGCTTTTGATCAGAAAAAAAGGTCATTTAGTGTATCAATAATTTTAACTTTAAAAAGCCTGTGGAGTTTGAACTGATTTATCTTACTGCTGTATAGAATACTTTGTACTTACAGCTACTACAGCTTCAGCAACTCCGGTCAACACAGCTGGTCTAAGAGAATGGAGGAGGATTTTGCCTTCTAGTAACACAAAGAGTAACAGAGTGGCACAGTTTTCCGGTCCAAGATTCATGAGCAGAGTGCTAAAGTTTGCTCCACTAAGGGGCAGGTGGGAAGAGAATAAGAATGTTACAGGTTTGGGTTTTGAAAAGGAAAGAAAGAAAAATATCACTCCTATAAAGTTTCTGACTACTGTTTAGGACTTTGGGACCTTGCTGAGTTTATGTTGTTTATGGCACTCTCATATACGCACAGGCATATTGTCTTAGTAACAGTAAAACAGATCTGTTCAACAACTAATCCAAGTCCAAACCACCAGTAATTTACAATGATTGTTTACCTCAGGCAAAAATTACATATTAGAGAATTCGATGTTTGCATCACAATATCAAATTCTAATACTAGTCAAGTAACATCAACCCATCATTCTGATAGCAACATGCCTTTAGTTTCTACAGTTTAGACTCCATTTCATTTGTTTGGACTGTACACATATAGAAATTTTGATGACATCTGAAAGAACACAGAAGTGTAAAATCTGTTCTTAGAAAAGTGCTTACATGATATTTTGCAGTTTGGTGGCTGTCTGCAATTTTTCATTTAAAAGGCTGTGTAACAGATGTGATTAAACATGGGATTCTTCTGCATACAGAATATTATACGATAATGTTGGGCGGGGGGAGGATTTAAAAAAACATAAAGAAGAGAATACTTTCCTTTTTAACTTAAAACCAAACCAAAAGTCAACAAAACCATCCAAACAAAACCCCATGCCACAATGGGAGCTCCAGCCCAGAAGATGCAAGCAGTACCCACAGACTGCATCAACCTTCAAGCACAAATACCAGCTTTTAGGTACAATTTTGAATTTCTGAAATCTTTGCACACTCTGAATTGACCGATTTCACCTAACTGCTTGACATAAATGTCTCTATTCAGATCCAAAAGGCAAAAAAACCAAGGTAACACTCTATGCTATTAAAATACTTTTGCTTACAATACATGTTCTGAAAATACACGATTTAAATTCCTCATAGCCTGTTTCTTCTTTCTTCAGAGTTTCTACAATAATCTGGAAATGCATCTTTATTTCAGGATAATTAGAGATAGTATTCTTCCACAAGGAACAGGTCTATGTCAAAAAGATAACACTGTATATTATAAATGTGTATTGAGCTTTCTGTTTACACTATCCAATAATATTCCAGTAACGTCTGGCTTCCTTCTATTACTTATGCCTGTTTGCCTCTGAATTTTTCAAGTAGCATACATACAAAGCATTAATAACGATACCTTAATGGCAATGGTGTAGAAACTGGCTGAGACAATATTAATGCATCATGGGCAGAAAGCTGAAACACATAAAGTGGTACATGATTGAGATGGACAACTCCATACACACAGTATAATATTCTAATATAAATGTAAATCCAAACTCTCATAAACTGCCTGGCAGACAGAGTGGCAATGTCATACAAAAGCTGCAAACTAGAGACAATCTTTGGGAATGGCATTCACTAGGTCAACAGAGCTTGTATTAGTCACTGAAACGATTCTCAGAAGTTACAGGAAATTGTGACTCAGTGTTGAACATGGAACTGCTGCTAGGTGATTAAACAGAGAAGCACAAGAGACAGTGCCCTGGGAGACTAACCTCTGACCCACAGTAGTGGGTGGACAAGTGAGAAAAAGACAGAAAACAACACCCACCCCACAAGGTAATGTAAATAATGCCTATAAAGTGAGGGTAATATATGGCAGAAATTTCACAAGTGCAAGTAGGACACTGCTGCCATCCACAGCACCTGAAGTTTGAAATATTTTCCTTTGCTTAGTTACCCCAAGTTTACATCAGTCAAAGAGAAGGCCAACCCATCCATCTTCTCCCCTCTCCCTTCCAGCAGATGGGTATACAAAGCTGAGTAAAAATTGTAAAGGAAGAATACAGGTTTGCAAAAGCAAGAAAGAGGTTTTGCCATTATTGTAATTGAAAATTGAAGCAAAGGTTTTGCTTACCTGCACAAGAATTCTTGGTCTTTGTGGTGAAGGGAAAGGTATATTGTGCATAAAATGGGATATGTGCCTGAAAAGAAGACAAGATATTAGAAAACAAGCACCGGGAACTAATCACGGAATGACAACAATGTTAATCGCATTTTGGAATTACTGTGGTAATCATGTTTTTGAAAGGCTGTTAAGATGTATTTACCGTTTTGATAAACTTAAGAGCCTATTTATGCAAACTGAAACAAAGAAGTTCCATTCACTCACATTTCATGCGTGAAAATTAGTACTGGCAGCTTCAGATATGTATGCAAAAGATAAGAACACACTGGCATTTAGGCAAGCCATTTAAAATTCCAGGAAGCCTAACCCAATTCTACTGAGTTTCTAACTAGGCTTAGCTAAGATAAACTATATACTTCACTGCCAGTCATGCAGTACAGGTTCGAAGGTAACACCGTATTTCAGCGAACTTTCAGGACTATGAAAAGCAGTTCATACACACACAAAAAGGCCTGCATTAGTTGCAGTGCTTAGAAACAGACACATAGTCATGGCTAATGCACACATTCCCTAAGTTTTTGTTTATTAATCTAAATGCAAGAATGCAAATGTAGGCATGTGTCTTACATCTCAGACATTTTCTGTGTTTGACATAGCTAAGAGAAACATAAACAGGCTTAACATATTCTAACAGAAAACCTACAGTAAAACCCAGTTCAACTTCCTGGCACTACAAGAGTCACTACTATTCAATAGAAGTAGCAGTAATTTCTATTACTACAACACAAGCTACACAGTGCAAGTAAGGGGATGGAGCAAATATACCAACTACGTAAGTGTGACATGTATAAATCACCTGATTTCTTGAGCTCATATAACTGTCTTCCCACTTTAACTTGGAAAATATTTTACGTACTTTTCAATGGGAAGAGGATGAGGTCCAGAGACAGACAGTTTGTAGATGAACATAAGAAATTTTCGAAATGCTTCAAAGAAAGGCCAGTGTGAGAGAAGGCAGATGCATTTGTTGGAATTGATGGACTTGGAAGTAATCACTTTCCTCTCTACAGTTGTCAGGAGACCCAGCTGCAATTGTTGTTTTTCTGTTAGCAGCTCTCGGGGATAAGGTTCATAAAACTGAATAGCAGCACCATAAACCTAAAAGAAGAAGAAAGCCAGCTGAGCAGACCCAGTATTTAACAGGAGGTTGGGTTAGAACTTTTGAAGCATCGCTGAATCTTTGGTGTTTGTACACACACTACAGTGCCATTTCATTTATGTAAAACCACCAAGTATCCTTATAAACAAATACTTTGGATTCTTGTGCCTCTCTTCCTCTTTTACACTGCACTTTCCTCAAAAGAGCATTCATACTCAGTAAATTGAAAGGGAAGGAACCAAACTGCATGCTGTGACGGAACTCTGTCCATTAACTCTTATGGTAAAACAAATCAAGAAAACAACCCTCATGAAATGCTTGAGTTCAGTTAACTCCTCTATCATTACAACACCAAATGATAGCAAGCATTATTTAAGTTTTGACTTACTCATTTTATCATGCTAAATAGCAGCCAACCTTTTCTGATATTCCTTCCCTATTTGTCAGAGTTTCATAAATGAATTATTTTGACAAGCTTAGCAAAAGGAAAACACAGAAAGATGGATATCATAGTAAACATTCTCTCTGAGAAAAATATTGCCAGCTACTGCACTCCTCCTTGCAAAAGAAGTATTAATATATCAGAGAAATACTTTTCTTGTTGTCAGAAATGGAAAAGTACATAAATTTCCCTGATAGGGGACTGAGGCAGAGTGGAAGCTGAGCTGCTATTACTAATAGAGCCAAACTGCTGTTTATTAGTCACAGAGAGCAAATCACAAATTACAATCACTCATTCCCTCATGTGGTTCACACACAGTTGGCCATCTGAAGCAGCAGCTGGGAGCCCAAACAAGGGCTCTCCTGCTTTATCAGGTGTACCTATAATCCTGTAGTCTCTGCCTGTGTAGAACAGACACTGCCTTCTCATATGTGGGCTGAGCCAAGCAACACATTTTTGGTACCTGTGTGTGTGCTGGTGACCTTACACAGATTCAGCAGACACGGCAATTAAACAGGATCACTGGTCTCAGGATCTCATCAGTTCTTCAGAGACCCTCACACGCTGCCTCTCAGCACATACTTTTCCCCTCTCCACCCTACTGTTTTCTGATAATTATTTTCCTATGCACACACATAGATACCTTCATAGATACCTAGAGTCGAATTACACAACTTCACACAAAGGTGGCTTTTAAGGTATTTCTAGCTATTTCCTGTTCTGGTTTACTTCCATCTTTTATGAAGGCTTAAGAAATACAATTTCATAAGGGAAGTATTTAACAATTTATTCTGTAGGATTTCCTAAATATCACAGAAACAATACCTATTTATCTCCTTAGCAGCCATTTGAACTAAAAGCAAAAACTAGTCACAGCATAGAACCATACCTTTTCTGCAGAAGAGCAGGTCAGTACAAATGTTGAGAATACTGGTAATGGATATTTGGTTTGAGAGTCCCAGCACTCAATAGTAGCTCCCATAGGAAGGCAGAAGAGAGGTACAGATTCTGACAGTGGGAATGACTCATAGTTCTCTTGAGGATATCTGAAAATTAAGCCTTCAGAATGGGAGAAGGAAAAGTAAGCATATTTGCTCTGCAAGTCCTAAATAACATAAGCAATGTATTTTCCATAATACACAGCAAAGTCTGCTGGTTATCTGCACTTAATAACTGAAGACTTTCTTCTTCTGCAGATGTAATATATCATTTGACAGTAAAACTAAGTCATCCAAGTAATAATTTTAAAATTGTGTATGAACATTGAAACAATTCCTTTTGGTAACTGCTTAAAAAACAGTACATAGTAAAAACTAACTACTGAAGATTTTTACTTTAAACCAGTTGGGAATTATCTGTGCTATTTAAATGTGCTATTGGAATGGATTTTATTACAAAAAAAATCCTATGAAGAAACCGTAAATTTATCTACTGTAAGAAAAACAGGAATACCTCATTGAAAACAGGATGACTAGCTGACTGCCCATGTTTTCTTCTAATCATAGAATCATAGAACAGTTAGGGTTGGAAAGGACCTTAAAATCATCTAGTTCCGACCAGTCAATATGTTCAATTTAAACAAAATGTTTACTTAGTTTTCAGAAATAGATCTAATGCTTGCTGATAGAAAATAGGCACGCAAGCACTGGTTTACTATTGTAGTTCATCTAGTTTATTTTATGGCACATTGACTTCATTACCTATGCTTTCCACTTCTACTTAGTAGTTTACTTCTTTCAAAGAATTTTGGATCATTTAATGCTCAGTAAAAATCTCTTTTGAAAGTTTTTTTGGACTTTTTTGGAAAAAAAAAAAAAAAAGAACAAAAAAAGTCCGTGGCAATGCATTAAAAAATTATACAAGCCAGACTTAAAAGAAAAAACCTGTTGTTGTTTATTGTTCAGAATATTTCCTACTCTTCTCAAATAAAAAACAACTGAATAGCTGTGGAACCGAAGGGAAGAAACATATTTAACATTCAAATTAAATGAAAGATGTTGCACTAGCTGTGAGACATAAGAAAAAATATGAGTAAGGTTGAATAGAATTTTTAATTACTTTCTCCATCACCACCAACACAAGAAATATGAAATCTTTTGTTACATCTGGAATGCTTCTAAGTTTTCCACTAAAGCACCTAAGTCTGTCATGATGAGAACTAAATTAATACAAAATAACGTATTCCTATTCAGTTTCGGGGTTTTTTTATCAATATCTTTTCCTGGGAAAAAGCGAGGCAATCAAGGATGGCAATTATAGGATTTGATTTCAACTGACATGCTCTAGGAACAAAATTCTGACAGACAGCATTTAAACCTTTAGAATTATTTTATTTCAACAAGGCATTTGAATCCTTCTGTTAGCATGTTTAGACAGTATGCCTGTAATGTTACTTACCAGCTTTATATGCTAAAGAATTAGAAGCTGGCACCGACTTCTTGTAACAAAGATATACACTGGAACCCCACTGGAAGACACAGATTTCATTTCAAAACCAGCAAAGATGACACAGGTGGCAGCGAAATCAAGTATACGCATTTGAATATTTTCCCATTTACAAACTAAGCAGACATTGAAATAAAGAGCATTACAGAATAAAATGACTGGTTAGCTGCTGAGTGCATGTAAATCATGAAATCAAGCATTCACTCTTTCTACATTTTTTACAGATTACAAGATCTACATAAAATAATCACATCACTAAATTACTCTCTGACTTATTCCAACAGAATAAGGAAAAGTGAAGCTTTTTAATTTGCAGCTTCATTTTCTCATTATTTAAAAAAAGACTCTTTTGCGAACCCCATCAGTGGAAGTGAAATTCTAAACATCAGCACTTTAAGCTTTTATCAATAAACTGGTTATTTACATGGTGGGTTTTTGCAGCTTGTTGAAATACACTCTACCATTCAAAAAAACCCACTTATTTCAGTATGAGTAAACTAAATGTTAAACAGACTAAATAAAGTGAACTGATTGACAAAAAAAAAGAAACTGTAGGCAGTAATTATGATTATCACACATCTTAGTAACACAGACATTATTAATAACTAAGAAAAAAGCATTTGTGGTTAATCCTGAATGTCAGCATCACTAAAGGGGGGGTGACTGGGGGAACAACAATAAGAGTAATAATTAAAAAAATCCATCACACTACTCCTAAATAGCACCTAGACATGAATATGCAAACTGAAGTAGTGAGTAATCAGTATGGAGGAGTAATTCCTAATATGAAAGGAAATAAGAGCAACAAAACCTACAAAACTGAAGCTTCACACATGCTAAATATAATGAAAGAATTACAATATAGGCAGTGATAGAGCACAACTATGAGGGTGTTAAAAAGAGTCCAGGGAGCTACTCCTTTGGGTTTAAAGAAAAATAATAAAAAAATAAGACTCAAGCTTTTAAGTACTCACCATACCACAATTTAAATTCTTATCAACTTTGCAGAACGTATGAGGAGGTGTTTCTCCTTTGCTCGTAACAATAACACAAATATCTGTCACTGCCAATGAATTCTGAGGTCGTACTGGAGGAGCCCTTCGATATGTGATAAAGATCCGCTGAGAAGACGCCAAACTGTTGTTAACATTAGCACAACGACCATAAGGAGTAGCTTGAATCACCTCGCAGCCTGCAATGACGCGTTCTTTCCCTTCATACAGAACTCTGAAGACAGGAAGGAAACAAAATATTATGCACAAAGATATGTGAAGTTACCTGGAGAAATTCACACAAATTGTCCATCCATTAACACTCTACATCATCACTGCAACAATGTAATGGACATTTTTTATCTTGTCTTTTATCACGCATGATTTGAGGCAAAGAATGTATTTAAATATTGTAAGAAATCTCTGTGGGAACAAATCACAGTTATGGGAAAATATAATCAAGCCATACTGAAAAGGATTTTGTAACAGAATCAGTAGGAATGCTGCACTATCGATGAAAATATTTAAGCCTTGGACTGCTTGTAAACATGATGACTTATAATTTCTTAGAAATTATTTCCACCACTAGAATGCCTGGAAAGTAATTTCAAGCTTTTCTTTTTCTTTTTTTTGAGGAATACTATAGGAAAAGATCAACAGAAGACAGACGTTTGCTTCCAGATTAATTTGTATAGAAAAATACACAACCAAACGAAAACCTCGCAAAAAAAACCAGTAATCATTTACATTTATAGTCTGAATAACAGTCCTTACAGGAAGCGGAGGGAGGAAAAAAAAAAAAAATAAAAGAAAGATAAACTAATACTTCATTCTGTAAAAATGGAAGAAATAATAACTACAGTTAACCGTACTCCTAGAAACCAGAATGTATACCTACATAAGCTAAAACTTTACCATCTGATCTTTCCCAAACATAAAGCTATTAGGAATTGACCATCAGAAGTGATGTGGAAGTCAAACCATACATCACTGCACAGTTTTAATGCACAGACGCTATGATAGGGCAAGCTTTACCTCCTATTCCACAGCTAAATAAGCCATGGATATATTTGCCTGATTTCCTGCAGTATGTACAGAGTGCTTGCCACCTTCAAATGAATGCTACAATTTTTTACAACATTTAAAATAAAAGTAACACATTAAAACTTTTTATCTTGTGACCTGCAGCTTCCCACATTTAGCCCAACGGAACCTTACTTCAAAATAAAAAATGAGGCAATGTCTTCTACTATCTGTAAGTACTCAGTTAAATGTTTAACAGACTACTAGTAAGCATGGTTGAAAACTTCAAAAAGTCATGTATATAAAAGAAAAAAGTCTGTTTCCAGATCCAACAATTCTCAGAACTTTCAACTTCCCAAATTACTTAAATGCTACTATCTAAACTGGAATATGTAAATATTACTGTTTATTCTGATTCCACTGAACAATTCATAGAATCAGAATGGTTTGCGTTGGAAGAGACCTTAAAGATCCTTCAGTTCCGACATCCCTGCCACAGGCAGGGACACCTTCCAGTAAAAGAGGTTGCTCCAAGCCCCCATGCAACCTGTCCTTGAACACTGCCAGGGGTGGGGCACCCACAACTTCTCTGGGCAACGTGTGCAGTGTCTCACCATCCTCACAGTGAAGAATTTTTTCTAATATCTAACCTAAATCTCCCTTCCATCAGTTTAAAGCCATTCCCCTTTGTCCCGTCCCTACACGCCCTTGCGAAAAGTCTCTCCAGATTTATTGTAGGTTCCCTTTAGGTACTGGAAGGCTGCTATAAGGTCTCTCCAGAGCCTTCTCTTCCCCAGGCTGAATGCGTATCTTGTAGTAGTAGTATGCTGTAGTATTGAATATGTATATCTTGTCATAGTATTGAGGATATACATGAACCTCAGTCCTACAATACTCTAATAAAGGAAATCAGATGAGTTGACAGTATATTGATGTAGCTACCAAGCTGCCACATAAATTTATTCAGTTAGTTCATGGAGGACAACATTCTTGTCTTCAATAATGGGTTTGGCTGTAGAGAGTCTAATCATCACAAACAAATGCCCACAAAACTAGCCAGTGAACTGAAAAAAGAAATTAATCATGAAAGACTATTAACAAAACTTTCTCCAATGGACATTTCAGTTCAGTTTTATTCCAATTTCATGTATTTTAAATAAAATCCATGAATTTAAAGTTATTCCAGAAACACTTGTCAGCAGACATCTTTTGAGAAAGAAAACCATATTAATCCCACAATTTCAGCATTTCAATGTAATAGGTTTACAAGTATTCTCAGGAGGATACTTAGAGACTGAAGAATTTCTCAGTCATACAAGTACTTCTAAGACGTGAAGGGCTGACCAGTGTTCAAGACTGGTACCAGTGAGGTCACTTCCCATCAAAAGCAAAAAGAAAATGAAAGTAACTCTCATCCCACCAGAAGTATTATTAAAACCATACCATTTCCTGACCTCATGCATAATATTAAATTTAAGAAAACAAGCAAACAGATGAAAACCAACATCCATGGATAACTCAAATTAGACAATTATTTTAATGATTCAGACAAAAACATTCAGAAGTGATTAATGAAATATTTAACATGACATATATATATTACATATACACACAAAGTCCACCATGAAAGGGTAAGTTTACTCCTACTTGTTTCAACTTCCCAAAGCCTGCCTTTGCCTAACTATTATTAACTAATACTGATCAGGGTAAGAATTGTTTCCTTCTTCTGTGAGCCAATACTTTGGCCTAGATCACACATACACCTCATTTGATACATTATTCTATCAACTTCAATAGAGTTTCATTTTAAGCAAAATGCAACCTGCAGTTTCGTCCAGATGTGAGGTCATTTCTTCGTAAAAAAGACAAAAATGAGAAGAGATGGGTCCTTAGCAAAGAACCACTAACCAAGCTAAAGCTTCACATTGTAGCTAAAAAATAAGCAAAGCATTTCTTTACTTAGACAATGCAAGTACAAGGTACATTACTTAGTAATAACAGAATCGCAGAATAGTTTGGGTCAGAAAGGACCTTAAAGATCATCTGGTTCCAACCCCTTGCCACAGGTAGGGCCACCTTCCACTTGATCAGGTTGCTCAAAGCCCCCATTCAACCTGGCCTTGAACACTGCCACAGATGGGGCAGCCACAGCTTCTCTGGGCAACCTGTTCCAATGTCTCACCATTCTCACAGCAAACAATTGCTTCCTAATGTCTAACCTAAATCTCCTCTCTCTCAGTTTAAAGCCATTCCCCCTAGTCCAGTCTCTACGTGCCCTTGTGAAAGGTCCCTTTTCTAGCTTTCTTGTAGGTTTCCTTTAGGTACTAGAAGGCTGCTTGCTCTAATGTCGTCTTGGAGTGTTCTCCAGGCTGAACTTAACTACTTATTTAATAATTAAGGAAAAAACACACACATTCATTATTTTGCCACCATTGTAACAGCTCCCCTCACCCATGCTCCATTTTCTGTTTCTCATAGCACCCCCAGTAATTCTACAATGTCTTTATTCAAATGACAGAAGTGCTATATAGAGCAATTTAAACGATACTGTAGTGCTGCATGCCTTATTACAGATTGAGCATTACATCAATATGCTAGTAGCACAGATTATAATATTCGCTACCTCAAGATCTTGGGGGATTTTGTGATCTTGACCCAACACTTACATTACAGTACCCTGTAAGTTAACAAAATTACTTCAGATCTTCCCTGCCAGTCGCCCCCTGCTTTTAAGAATTGAACTTGAAGCTTGACTATATCTACAGTTTTCAAACACAGTACTAGTAACTCTTTAGGAATTTACGCCTCAGGCATCAGAAAACACTGTTTGCGAAACACAAGCATGACTAGAGTTACCAAGAGACCACATAATCCAGTGTTTGCAGCATGTCAGAACTTGCAAGCAACCCTGCAAATACTCTGATGTGACAGTAAGGCAGGCTACAAGATTCCAGGTAGGTGCACAATTCTGAGAACTTTGTTACAGTGTCCTACCATCTTTAAGTAATGCCTTTTATCTTGAGCACTGAATTGAATTCCAGAAACTGGTAAATTTTGTCTTCTGTAGTCATCACTTTCAGATTAAGCACAGTGTATTTACCATCTCTATAATTTTTTTTTTCTTTCACCTTTCATCAAACTGCAGCAGAGAACTTAATTTGCTCCCTCTATTTCTTTCTATACATATATATCATATATTTTTAAGTAAAATATTATCATTAATTTTAAAATGACAAGTTCTCCAGAAGATAATTTTTTCAACATATTTCATAAAGAAAATACTACGGATTCACACAAGAAGCAATATAGATTCAGAGACAACATGTTCTTAAAAGCTTCCCACATCTGTTCTAATCACCTGTGAACAGTAAGACTTAATCATTATTAATCATTCATTCAGGAACTGAATTGTTATAGGAATCTCACCCAATGTCAGTAAGAGGTGGTTTGTCTCGTCCTCTCTTGTAACAAAGAAAAAGTTCAGGACTCTTTAGACTTCCATAGTTTAAGTTGGCTTGAAGGGCTGTAGGGGTGGCTTCAACACAGGTGTACCCCTCTGGGACAGTTTCACCTGCTGATTTAATTATCACAGCAATATCAGTAATTGGAGCTTTTGGACCAGCTGATTTTGTTTCATGTCGGCTTATTTCTTGGTCCAGGAGGGTTGCAGTATCTGTATCAGTGAGCCCCGCCACCACAAAATAGTCGGCCACTCGCGGACCTTTGTCTTCTGTCATGGTTATGTCAGTACTTCCTGGGGAAAATAAAGAGAGATAAATCAAACACTGCTTTCAAGCTGAACCCATCCCTCAACAAGTATGAGGATCTCAAACCTATAAAGAATTTTTTTCAAATAAAAAAAATCCCATTTAGAGATTCCATGAAAATGCTAAGACAAATCCAAAACAAGCTTTGTTTTTACTGCTTAAAAAGGCAATATTGTCAGTAATTGGATTTCAGTTCTAGTACCATAATAGTGATGTTTTAGCACAAAGAAGTTTAAGTGAAATAAAGAAGAACCCAAAGATCCTTACACAGCAGCTACACAGACAATTGCTTGGTGTTAGCTGTTAGGCCATTCAAGTGCTTTGCAGGCTATGAATTAATGCAGGTACCCTTTATTTATGGTATTATTTATCCTTTAATTACAGTATTCTGTCATTGCTTAATGAGTAATCTGACATAGCAAAGGAGGAGGGCAAGGGCCTGTTCCAATTACAGGCTCATTAGTTTATCTTCTGCATATTTCATCCATTTTGTTTCATAATCTAGACCTAACAGTGCAGTCTTGAGACATTCAGCTGGCAACTGTAACATCTGGAAGTCATTTACAAAATTAGGCATCCAAAACCACATTTCATCAGCTGATCAGGCAGTACACATCACTGCTCAGCTGCACATTCCAGATTTGGAAAGAGCTGTTTTTCCTAACACCAGCGACGTTCACTAAGCATATGACTTTAAAGCGGTGAAACGCAAGTTTCCATTAAGCGCAAAACTAGCTGACAGACTATGCTCAAAGCCCACAGTTACAAATTTAAGTACCCAATCTTATGGAATACCTACCTTTTTAGAAGTTGAGTGAGAAATATTTAAACAGTAGTTGCCAGCAATAAACATGAATACCGTTATCTCCCTTTAGGGAGCTAGGGATCACCTTCTTTTAGATTCCCATGTTTCCATCATGAGATTACTGGGGATCCCATCTAGAAAGCTAACCAGGAATGGAAGTCTGGTTACCATCTTTGAAAACAAGACTGCCATAGCTGCAAAAGTTACCACCTACCAAGGAGTGGGTCTCCCTAGGAATTAACAAATAGTAAGTGCACCAATACTGAGAATTTTATTCTACTCAGAAAGTCCTCCTCTGGTAACTGCAGAAATACTGACCTCTCCTAACAGAAAGGTGGTTTGGTGGGGACAGTATAAACCTGCTTTCTCTTTCTGTTCTTACCCTGCTCTTTCTTACTGAAATTATACTGAAAATGTGTTTTCCATCTGCACATCTTACAAGACTTCTAAAACTTGTTATTAAAAGTGTTCCAAGTACTCAGCTGAAGGAAAACTCAGTTATTCTTCCTGCATACTTACTAAGAAATCTTAGCATAAGATTATGCAATTTAGGGGGCAAACCACTATATTTCAAGGTACTGTGGCATGAGATGGAAGTAGGAAGTCAAAGAGAAATAACTTCACACTAATTTGTAGTACCTCCGTACTCCAACTAAATACATCTTTTATTTTCCAAAACTGAAACAACAACCGTTCAAAACCTTCAAACCTGATAGTATCTACACACTTACAAGACTCTTTATTTCTGCAGTACTTTTACACAGTGCTTTTCGCAACATCGCTGTTCTCTAAACACTTCAGCTAACAGCTTTTGTAGGGCAATCCCCAAGCAGGGATTCTGGGAAGAGACACAGAAGTGTTTGGCTTCTCTGAAAAGGAGAAAGCCAAGGAACAGTTACTCACATGACTGAGTCTTCAGGCCTAAAATATATGGATGCCATATCACCAGGAACAATAAAAGTTACATTCAATTTGTCAGGTGTTAGGAGAATGTGCCTATGTCTTCTGAAGAACAAGCAAATGACTCCAAAGCCACAGCTGCTTGCGAAGCTTCTGAATCACCTGCAGCTACAGAACCTACAGTAGTATACCCCCTTCCTACTGTTATAAACAACATGAAATTAGTGACAAAGCCCTTTACAGATAAACTAACCAGCATGAAATGCAGGGAGAACAGCTTCAACTTAATCTCACAGAAACTGGTGCTTCTGTTAAAAGACCTGCTCTCCAGGTCACTGCTCATTCCCACCTTTGGTTTGTCCAGAACTATATAGTTTATGCAGTGTGATGAACTGGAACGAAATTGCTCTGGCTGAAAGCTAACCTGGCAGAGACTGTTACGTGTTCAATCAGAGCAGTCTTCCAACAATTTACTGTGTCAGCACAACAGCAACAGCAGTATGCCTCTTTCAGCAGCAGCACTGACTTGCTCCTGACTAATCATAAAACTGTGAAGTCTAAGATGTTTCAGTTTGCTTCTTAGATGCTTGGACTTGTTACAGAATTATAAAAATAAAGAAACCAACCTCTCCCTGCTCCCCTCAGAAGAAAAGAAAATCCTGAGCCAGAATATCTTGTTGTTTGGAAAGTACTGTTTGCACTTGATATATGTGAAACCTAGTTACTGGAACAAGCTGCTAAAAATAGCAAAATGGCTGGCATCGTATAAACGTTGTTTTGGTTTTTTAAACAAAACCTTTTTGATCCAGGATTTGATTACCTGCTACATGTTCACATAGCTCAGTATCATATTCTCTCAACGCAACATAAAATCATCGCCCACATTACTTTTAGCACACAGAGCAAGAAATAAAACAGTAATGATAACAGTATACATCAAAAAACTTTCAACAGTTTGTAATTTTAATCACAGCTGTAGTTCCTGGATTTGCACTACTGTTGTCTTCGACTGTGTATTAAGTGAAAATTTATCTTCCTGTGTAAACTGAGGGAAGAAATTCAAAAGGATGTGTAAAAAAAAAATAAACAAACAAACAAAACAAAAAAAAAAGAAAGAAATTTGTAAGGTTAGAATGCAAATGAAAAGAATCCATCCCCAAATTTTTACCAGCGGAGTTCAAAAAAACTATAGCAATTGTTTGTTCCAGTTGCAATTGGTTGCAAGAGGTACACTTAGATCCATGATTTTACATTTTTCTTTTAGCTATGCCACATTTTACTCCAGAGAAACTCTGTGTGGCATGTGGCAAGCAAAAGTCAGAGCACCAGGCAATTCAGCTGAGAAACTGGGCATATCAAGCTTTAAATATCAGGACAACATTTAAAAGTTTTTCAAAATGTTCTGAGTCTCTCAAATCAGCTCTCTTCCACAAGGATAAGAGAAGTAAGGTTTAAAATAAGCACTCCAACTCAGTTCTTCAAAAATTTATTCTTTAATTTCAGAAAGATTTAAAGCAACAGGATTTCTTACAAGAGACCTTAAAGTAAGGGCTCTTAATTAAGCCATAGCTATCTTCTTTAATGCAACAACTTTATAAATATAAATAAGACAATGAACCTAATTAGCACATAACCACCAAACCAAACAAAACCAGCACAATCCAGTTAACCCAAGGACATTTTCCTTCAAAAAGTAAAGTAAAAAATAAGCGTGTAATTCATGGGGGAGCAAGATGAATCCACTGCCATTTTCCACTGTTTTTAGGAAAACTCACACAAGAGTAAGTATGCATACTATTCATCTGAACAGACAAGGGAACAGTCTTCTGAGACCTTCTATCTTAAGTTTTATCACAGCAACTTTTCCTCATCATAATTTCAAGAGATACTGTTCTCTGACAGCCTTCCATGAGTAGATTTTTCTGTACATCACAAGAATAATAAGAAAACTTAACATTCAGAAAAATACCGAGATTTTTATTCTAACACTCCGTTCCTTTGCAGGACAAAACCCAACTCAAAAAAAAAAAAAAAAAAAAAAAACAAAATAAAATCTATAAATGAAAAGTGTTAAGTTTGCACTGGCTGATGAAAATGCAGAATATATTCAAAATGAGTCAACATTCAAGTCCCATGAAAATTCTTATTTATTTAAAGCCTACAAACAGACTTCAATTTCAATCAAATACACTGAAAACAAAAACTGGGAATGTTTTAAGAACATCAGCGGTCAGTATTGCTTCAGAAATTACAAACTTCCAAGTTCCTACAGATCCATAACAGCTATGGAGAAATTATTTCAGTGAAGTTCATTTTCCAATTCATTCATAGGCCACAATAGGGAAGCCTGCTATGAGCAGTTTAGGACCAAAATTATTTTTTAAATAAAAGAAAAAATAGGAAAAAAGTCTTCAGAATAAAAGATGCACTTTCAAAATCTCCATTTTTTTTTAATAGGAATCCTCACTGGAAGCAGTTAGTTTTGCAGATGACAAAACAAAAACAGCCTGTACAGACAACACTTAAAGGCACTTATTTCAACTAGAGTTGTAGAGCTGTACTGAGTCAAGAGATCATGTAGCAGAAATATGTAGGAGCAAAAAAAAGTAAATCATTTTCGCTGATAAATGCCAGAAATATGGCAAAATGTTCTCCTCTCCTACTATACATTTTAGGTTGACCTCTGTAAAAAGACAACAGCCTTTCTCACAACTAAAATGCAAATTTACAATTCTTTCATAATGTCCTATCAAAAATGTAGCAACTCAACTATTAGCTTCCTACTTCACAGGGTTGGAACTAGATGATCTGAAGGTCTTTTCCAACCCTAACTATTCTATGATTCCATGATACAGGCCATAGCTGTTAAGGGGAGATTCCACAGTAAAATCGCCTTGGAGAAAAGGTTTCCATTCTAAAGATAATTTTTAAATTTTGAACAATTATGAAAAAAATACTACATCATTAGGAACTGCTTCAGTTTATTGACTGCTGTCTAAACCACTTTTTTTTCAATATAGCTAGGCTGCAATTTCCTCTATTTATAGTAAGCTGCACCACAACAAAGTTGTTTTGCAAAGACAGAAAAATTTGTGAGAGCAAGTTACAAGCAGCCACAATGAAGTAGAGATGACAATATAAGTATACACTGTATTTGTAGTTTAGTTCATAGCTAATCTGCTTTTATCACATAGTTATAAGTTTTCAGTTCCAAAATGGAGATCACTAATTTAAAGTTCTCAGTCTTCATTTACAGACACTGCCACAGCTGAGGAATCCTAT